TTATTTTTCCGGAGGACTAGTCTCTAAGCAAAAATAAAATTAGTGGAGGTATAAGCAATTTCAGCTAAGAGTAGAAGTCCCAGTACTATTTATAGATCAGCAGGAGAACATAAATACTTTGTGGTCTCATTCTCCTCTCATGCCAGGACAAATCAGGAATAATTCCATTGAAGTAAAAGCAGTTACATTGGTGAAAAGATGATGTAAGTGAAGATAAGGAGTGCCGGACCCATAGCGCTGACACGTGTTATGTAGGTGGTGTTTTCAGCAGCAGTTCCACTGCTATTTCATCAGGAGATGCATAAAGTTTTGTCTGTGTCAATCTGGAAGTACATGTTTCAAACTGGAAACAGTAATAAAACTAGCCTCCGTTAAATTATTAAAGCACTTCGTACTGAAAGAACTCAGCGTAAGCCTTGAATGGTTTTCTCGTGCTCTCCTATTCTTCAGGCGGTCTTTGAGTCCTCTTGAGATGTAGCCACAATATTACAAGTTCACTGAGCTAAATTCTCAGTGCAAACCTAGTGACATAAGTGAATTTGGCACCAATGAACTGGAACTTGGCCTATTGCCTCAATTTACTCATAGACGACCCTCCCCCCCATTCTATGCATGCCCACAGTATCTTAATATCATTGGCTTTCTGTCTGTGTCACTCATGGTATTTAGCAGCGGCCCCCTATTTTCAATCCCCAAATCTTTCTCGTCTGCTTTTTTCAAGGTACTTGCTTTACACTCACCTAAAATAGCAGCCGTATCAGCACTCGGACCAGCCTCATAGTTGTGTCTCCTTCTCGTCTAAGTGCTTTTAATTACTATGAACCACGAACAAACTGCTAGTTTTTTCACATACCCAACATATAGACATCGTCAGTCATTCACCTTCCTTTTTTGCCAATTTATAGTGAATTGGTAATGTCAGGAGCTTGTTAGTGCGTCTCAAATTGATTCTCCGGGCTCAGTGATAATAAGATCAACAGTAACAACCATGAGGCTATTGCACAGAGCTGTCAATTTGAACAGCGTGGTTGGATTAAATATTCTTTAAATTTGGTAAGACAGCAAATGATCATTGTCGATGATGACCCTGAAATTATCAAGAGTTCCGCTGTACTCATAGGGTTGTTGGTTTTGTTTTTTTTTCATGAGAACGTGTCCTTTGAAACAAGAGAAGTCTCAGCTCCTAGTACTCTAGAGACATTAGTGCTCCTGTTGTGGGGGCTATCAGTGGGCTCGCAGAAAGAAGAGAGAATATGACAAAATTGGGTAATTGAGAAATGATGTGCCTTGCAGAGGGACAATGAGACGGTCTGGAGAAAAGAAAAGGGTCGGGAGAATTGAAGTAATTAAAATCTGTGATTTAAAAAGGAGCTCAGAGAGCTCATTAGCATTTATCTCAAAAGCAATTGGAGAGGTGATAATAATGTAAAAGGAATAGCAAGCAATACTGGAGGGGTCCAGTTCCATCTTTGGATGATTATTTATCGCTCGCGTTGACTTCAGTCAGAGATGAACATGGAGATCCGAGGGCAGAGTTTTGGTCTGAAGAATGAGTGAAGCAGATATAAAATACACTTGGAGTCGTACAAGAACACACCATAAACTGTCTTGAACTTCACTGTTTTGGTGCAACTTTTTCCCATCCTGTGGGTCAGACAGTTTAGCTAAAAACCAGTCCAAACAGATTCCTCAGGAATCCCGGCCCATGACCTCTGGGGAGCATCTTTTCAGTCCCCTCTCCTTCCCGCCTCCCATATCTTCCTATATAGTTACAAATACAAATGTGTCTCTGGCCAGTAGGAGAGGGGAAAATCCTCTTTCCGGTTCTGTGTTTATGCCAGTGGTTCCCAAACTTGTTCCGCCACTTGTGCAGGGAAAGTCCATGGCGTGCCGGGCCGGTTTGCTTACCTGCCGCGTCCGCAGGTTTGGCCGATTATGGCTCCCAGTGGCCGCGGTTCGCTGTTCCAGGCCAATGGAAACTGCTGGAAGCAGCGACCAGTACGTCCCTCGGCCCGCGCCGCTTCCAGCAGCTCCCATTGGCCTGGAGCAGCGAACCGCGGCCACTGGGAGCTGCGATCAGCCGGACCTGCGGACACGGCAGGTAAACAAACCGGCCCGGCCCACCAGAGGCTTTCCCTGAACAAGCGGTGGAACAAGTTTGGGAACCACTGGTTTATGCTGTTTTACTGGTCAACAGGTAGGAAGCAACTGTCCCCTTCTTACATGTCTAAACTCTCCTCGAACCCAGGTGGGAGCCGGTGAAGAACCAAGACCTCCTGTGCTGCTTCCAGCTGACCTCTGCAATCATTTACCTGAGCTTTAGTCATGTCGCTTTGGTAGAAAAGAGAGATTCATCGGAAGCACCAACTTGCATAAAAATTCTGTCGAAACATAGAAAAGAAAAAGATTAATGAGACAGTAAAGGCTCATGCACTGAAGTCCCACGTTCGATCCTCCCCGACGAAGACCAGAGTCTGTCGGTGTTACAGGTGGGCACTTGTAACGCCACCAGACCCCAGTCATCGACAGGCGGGATTGAACCTGGGACTTCGTGCATGAGCTAAAAGCCTGCAGTAGGAGGAGGAGGCTGTTAGCTAAGGCTGTAGAGCAGACTCATTAATCTCTCTCTGAGTGGTCTCGGTGCCACTGCATGGGACAGCAGAACACCACACCCAGGAGGTGTGTGGGTTACAATTACATATAAGTTAGTGGTTGAAAGAAAATGGCATAGTAACACTATTACACAATCAGGAAACACAGAGAAAACGCATGCATTAAAAACTTAAAGCATGTGTGCCTGTGGGTACGTACGCGAATACAAGTGTAATTCCATTAAAAATAGTGGGCAAAGGGAAGATCAGTGGTGTCCAAATCCAAGAAATGCTATTGCAAGAGGAGCTTATTTTGAATATGTCGCTGAAAATGTATTGAATGTAAAGGTAAAAGTATATTGTAATATAACATGGTGCTAAATTCTGCAGTGCTTCCTCCCTTGCCGTCCCTTCCAGCCAGATCCAAAGGCCTTTGAAGCCCATGGAACGACTCTGAATAGCCCAAAGTGAGTGTTTCAACAGCCCAAGTGACCCATGAGGTTGTATGGAACAACCAGGCCAAGTTCTGCACTGCCTTCCACTCCACTGGGCTTAGTGGAGTGGCATGTGGTGTAAATCAGCCCAGAACATGGCCCAAAATCTTTAGAGGCTTTGCTGAGCTTGGACAGGTTAACAGAGAGCACATTCTTAAGTAAGTGTAATAGGGTTTTTCAGCTTTTAATAGCGGTTGCTTGCTAGTCTGAGTACAGTTGTGGGTTAATTAAAATTTGTTCTCCCTGTAAGGATTAATTTTGCCCCATCTCTATTTACATGGTGATAAGAAGTGCTTACCTTCCCCTGTCAGTCTGCACTGATGAATCTGAGGAATAGAGCAGGTAATTTCTGATTCGGTTATGTGCGCTCAGGTGCACTATCTGATATGGAACCACTCCCTTCCTTTGATGTGCCCTCACCTTTTGGGAAGAAATGAATCCTTCAATTCATTTCCTTTGCCCAGTTTGCCTCTTGCGGTGAGGTCAGGAGCGAGGAGGCTAAGCAGAGTTGGAAAACCTCTGGTTTGCCTTTAATTTAGGCATCATCTTTTGAAAAGCCAGCCATGCTCTTTTCCTGTCCACTGTGGGCAGCTCTATTTCGTGCAACTTTTAGAGCTATTAAGTCATTTGGGGTTGGAGCTGGCATGCAGCAGCAGGGGAAATATTTGGATCTGTCCAATCAAGAATGTTCCTGGGGCACTGGGTGTGTTGCCAAGGGCTTGCCAGCGAAAGTGCTCGTTAGCACCATGGACTCTGATTGGCTGCTAAAGTTAATGACAGGAGTAGATTCCAGTCAATGTGGGGACTGGTTTTGGAGCTCTCTTAGGCGGGCTGTGACTTGGCAAGGCTGGCTCTGGGAGATTAAGGGTGTGGGATGATTGTGGCTGGGTTGTCTGCCTCTGCCCGTTTGACAGATCTGGAACATGACTGGATCCGGATTGGCCAATCTGAGTCACAGAGGGTAAATTGCCAGTTTAAGAAGTTACCCTTGTTGTGTTAAATTTTCCATCACTTTACTGGAATCAAGAGCAGAGGGCTCTTGATGGGAGTTGTCATCCACTGTTGCCCTTACCTGTGCAGTGAAAGAACTTAGAATAAAATAAAGACTGCGGCACTGATTCACCTCAGCTGGTGCAGAGAGGTACCAGTTACACTTCCCTGTGCCCCAGGGAGGCCGCGTGCTGTTGTCTTCCTCTCCCAGGTTTACTGCAGGGTAAGCAACAGCTTTAGCTTACAGCTACTTACCGTGGCAGGAGGCTGCTGAGATGATGCACGAGGAGCCTGATCCAAAGCCCATTAAAATCAGTGCGAGTGTTTCCATTTACTCAATGGCCTTTGAATCCTTTGGCAGGCTTCATCATATCCTATTGTTGCCGAATGCTGCTCCCTTCGTGGACAACACTGGCTCCATATTCCCCTCTCCCACCCTTCCGCTGCAAGGGAGGTTTCCACCACTGCAGTTACATCCTGGTGGATTTACCAGCAACAGGAACTTGTGCCAGCATAGACTGGCGCAGACCCTACTCTGAAAATGGCTCTCCTTTTTTAAGTTTGCAAAATAGAAGTTTATCGATTTCCCCCCCATGCGCCTTGCACCCAGATAAACATGCAAGTCGCTGGGCAGAATTTGCCTTATAGTGTGTTTCATCATTTTTCCATCACACAAAGGTATTACTATATATTTTGAGTTGATAGCCAAACCAAACATCACTTCTAAATGCTGAATATACAGTGTAAAAAGAAAAGCACCATTAAGTAGGGGAGGGTGGGGAAAGTGAAGATAGAATCAAAATGAATAACCCGGATTTTAATTGTTTTGTGCATTAGAGTCAACAGTCCTGACTTGTCAACGTCAGTGTAATTGGACAATGTTTCCCAGGTCTTAAAGGAGGTAAACCCTGCTTTTTCCTTCCAGAACCCTGAGTTGTGTAAACGAGCTGATGGATGAAGATGAGAAGGACAGGGCAAAGAGGTATGGATGGACATACAGAGCACTGGAAGGGTTGTGTGTTAAATCTCTCTCGTATGTGGAAATGGGACACGATTTGCTTGCCTTGTGATTGGAATGCTTTTTTGGGGCCCCATTTGGCTACTGTGGGTTTCAAAGGCAAAACTCCCATTGAGTTCACTGGAGCAAGATTTCATTCTTTATATGTCAGAGTTGGCACAGGGACAAATACGCAGCCTTTTTCATCACCCGGTGGTGCAGCTGACACCTAAGAAAAGGCGAATCAGCTCTCAGAGTTTGCTAGGTTACATTGTCTTGCCCTCAGGATCATTGATCACCCAATTCCTGTTTGATATGATGATTCAGTGCTCCTGGTTGGGAATTTCACTGGTTGGATTTAGTATCTTGTTGGAGGATGGTTTCTCTGTGAAGCTTAGAGGAGGTTCCAGTTTAATCCTGGGTGTGAATTCATTTCTCTTAATAAAACTCTTACCTTTCTAATTTGTCTTTGGACTTTCACTCCAAATACAAATGGGCCCAAATGAAAACACTGGGTCTGAGACACCTCGCCCCCACCCTCTGCACATCTGGTGTGGGGTTTCAGAGTAGCAGCCGTGTTAGTCTGTATTCGCAAAAAGAAAAAGAGGACTTGTGGCACCTTAGAGACAAACAAATTTATTTGAGCATAAGCTTTCGTGAGCTACAGCTCACTTCATCGGATGCATTCAGTGGAAAATACAGTGGGGAGATTGATATACACAGAGAACATGAAACAATGGGTGTTACCATGCACACTGTAACCAGAGTGATCACTTAAGGTGAGCTTTACCAGCTGGAGAGCTGGGGGGTGGGGTGGGAACTGCTGGAAATGGCCCACCTTGATTATCACTACAAAAGGTTTCCCCCTCCCCCCCCCCTTCTGTTGGTAATAGCTCACATTAAGGTATCACTCTGGTTACAATGTGCATGGTAACACCCATTGTTTCATGTTCTCTATGTATATAAATCTCCCCCCTGTATTTTCCACTGAATGCATCCAATGAAGTGAGCTGTAGCTCACGAAAGCTTATGCTCAAATAAATTTGTTAGTCTCTAAGGTGCCACAAGTCCTCCTTTTCTTTTTGCGAATACAGACTAACACGGCTGCTACTCTGAAACCCCACACCAGATGTGCAGAGGGTGGGGGCGAGGTGCCTCAGAGCCAGTGTTTTCATTCGGTAATTAACCATTATTAATGCAGGTTGGAAGTTGGTGTGTGGTTTCTTCGTACATCACATTTCTACTCAGTTCAGATTTTTAAACTATTGTGTGGCCTCAATTTTGTGCAGTTTTTTCACAGCCAAGTTTTTCTGAGCACAAAACTTGTGTATGCATGTTATACTTGTGTGCAGAAATCAGGAAATAGGTATCTCACCCATTTTGGCACACACAATGCAAAAAACCAGTCTCGAAGCAACTACTCGGAAAACTATAAGCATACACAGTCGTGGCTGCAATTTCAGAGGCCAGGTGGAGAGCCCTTTGAAAATAATGCATACATTAGAACTGGGTGACATTTTTCACATGAAAGTTTTTTGTCAGTGAAAAATACGGATTTGGTGACATCAAGATGTTTTGTAAGTTCATATCAATTTCATGGAATTGTTTCAGTCAAAAAAACCCCAAAATTTGGAGAAAGTGAAACATTTCAATTTTTCAGTTTGAAACGACTTTTCAAAATTGTCTTTGATTTTATTTTAAACAACAATTTATTTTTATTTTTAAAAAAGGTCAAAATTGAAATGAAACATTTTGATTTTGTCACAACAAAAATGTTTGGTTCAACCTGAAAATAATTTTTTTTTCCACTTTTCGATTTGCTGCAAAATTGAAACAATTGTTTTTGGTTTGACCCAAAGCAATATTTCAAATATTTCTTTTAGATTGGGCAGCACACCAAAAAATCCGCTATTCACACAGCTCGAGCATATACCAAATGACCACCTCTTTTCAAAAACCCCCACCCAAAACCAACCAACCAAAACCCTACCTAAATAAATAAACATATTCACTCCAAAAAATATCCATTGTTTTTCTCACCTCCAGATGTTCCTTGTTCCTTGTGAGCTTGATCCTGCTGTGAGATGCTGAGCACTCTGGCCCCCATCCAGCAAAGTTCTCAAGTGCATGCTTAGCTTTAAGCATAGGAGTAGACCCACTGAAGCCAATAGCACTGTTCAAGTGCTTTAATTTAAGCATGTGCTGGGCCAGAGCCTCTCAGTGCTTTGCAGGATCGAGACATACACCCCTTGCTTTCCTTAATGGTGCCTGTGTTTTGATCAACCAGGGCATCACGCAACAAATCTGAAAAGAAAAGGCGAGACCAGTTCAATGTCCTCATCAAAGAGCTCTGTACGATGCTTCAGGGTCATGGCCACCCTCTCAAGATGGACAAGTCCACAATATTGCAGAGGACCATTGACTTCTTACAGAAACAGAAAGGTATCGGATAGTGCTCGGCCCGCTCTTACCGCCCTCCAAGGGGAGTGTGAGAATCGCTAAAAGGGTCAGCGGAGGAGCTGGCCGGCACTTTATTTCTGGTGGGAACAGGGACACAGAGCTGCAGAACGGCAGAGTGGTGGGAGCAGTGAGGAGAGGAAGGGCTAATAGCCAGAGTCGGCCTTCAGAGGAGGTTGAATTCTCTGATGCAGGGTTAAACCACAAAGCGCTTGAAAAGGGGAGTGGTTGTAAAGTGCAGCTCTAGGCTAGAGCCTAGTCATGTGTCTAACTACAGATCTCTAGTCCCACCCGTGCCCTCCATATTCCCTTGCATCTCTTGGGTTGGTTTGCTCTCCCTATCTCTTGCTCCCCACTGTACATTTTCTAATTCCTTGCTCCCCTCTGGGCCATCCCGTTGCCTCTTCTGCTCTGCCTTTAATCCTCTTTGCTCATCTCTCCCTCGCTGCTCTGCCAGGTTCTGTTGTCCCAGTTCTCCATCTTTCCCCTCTTTCCCAGATGCCCTGGCCCTTACTATGTGATCTGTTGCACAGTCTCTCCCCACAACCTGGCTCCCTTGGTGCCCATATTTCTTCCTCCCCATGGCCCCTTTGGTGTTTGCTTTCTCCTGACTCCCACCCCTTTCTTTCATTCTCCTGCTTCCCCACAACCACACCCCCCAGCAAAGTCTCATTTTTCCTGAACCTGCTTCTCTGTGTTGATAGGGAGGGGCACCAGATGACTCGCTTCAGAGCTATCTCCTGGTTCCTTCACGCAGTGTAAGACATGCCCCCACTCGTGCAGAGCGCAGGAGCTGAGTGGTTGCACACAAAGCAGAGTTGGTCAGTGGCTACCGGGCAAGGGCAGCAGAAGAGCATTGTGTAGCATGAGGGAAAGGTATTTCCATATTCTGTTGCTTGGAGCCTCATGGAGCATGTCAAACACCCCTATGAACAAGGGACAGCTGGTGTCTGGCCACACAAGTGCTAAGGGATGCTCCAGGTGGCTGCCTATGTTGCACGTGCCCTGAGCAGGTGTGCATAGCACCATGAATTGAGTAATTCCCCTTCCTGTGGGCTCTTAGTAGGTAATTTCAGATTTGAGGTCAAATATTGCTGTCTGTGATGCCACTGTAAATCTGGAGTAACCCCATGGGTTCTGAGGGGATTACTCTAAGTTTACACTGACTTAACTGACCGCAGAATTTGGGCTCCGATCTTCTTTTTAAAATTATTCTCGTACCTCCTTTTCCGCCTCCTTTATGTCGTCCCCTTTTCTTGATCTTCCCTTCATACGATGCTGGAGCTGAGACTTCCATATGAGGAGATTATTCCTTGTGAAAAATCTATCTCTACCTCAAAAATGAAAAACAATTCAGCTGATGTGGGTCCTGTTGCTTTTCTGATATTTTCTCTTTAAGAAATCACAGCACAGACCGAGGCCTGTGAGATTAGACAAGACTGGAAGCCTTCGTTTCTTAGCAATGAGGAGTTCACGCAGTTGATGTTAGAGGTAAGAAGAAGTGAAAGATTTCTGAGCTTGGGGGAGTGGCGGGCTCAGGGGTACAGTGCCTTTCATCTCTCGGTCATTGCATCCATTAGCACTGAGACTACATAGCTCGTTCCTGGAGAGCATCGACTGCCATCAGATTATTACTATTACTGTTATTGCTTATGTTATGGCCTGGGAGCCTCAGTCATGGGGCAGGTCCCCATTGTACAAACCCAGAATAAAAAGATGGTCCCTGCCCCATACAGAGTTTACAGATGATAAACAACTTTCTGTTACTATCCACCTGGTCTGGCTTTGAGCAGGTGGCAAATCCAGTGTGGGGAGAAAAGGGCAGGAAGCCACCTCACAGAACAGCCACCAGAGCTGACAGATGACAAAAGCTGAATGGACCTGGAGATTGAGCGACCCGCTCCCTCCCAGGTCTAGCCTGAAGCCTGTCAGCAGGACAGGGTGAGAAAGCCCACAATGCTGTTGCATGCCCTGTGCTGTACCTGTTTTGTGGCTAAACAGAGAATAGTGAATCCCACCCCATTTGCCAGCAATGCCTTTGCATGAAACATGTAGAGGAGAAAGGCCCTGGTTTTCGCATACAAAAGTTCTTAGCAGGTGGAGACACATCCTGCAGAAGAGCTGAGATTTCTGCAAGCCTTTCTTAGAGAAGGCTGCTTCTGATTCCATGTGGCATGCTACCTCGGCTGTGAGTTATCCCATCGGTTGAAAGCAATTGCACCAGAATAAGGGTGTATGCTGGGCAGCATTGCAGTGTCTTGGTTATTCCTTTTCATCAGGATGTGATGAGTGACCTCCTTGGAAAAGTCTGTTCATTCTTTCCAGGAGTTGCTCTCACCAAACAAGTTAGTTCATTCGGGTTTAATCAAAACAGACACCAGCCTGAGAGAGATGGCAGGGGGAAGGGAGTTTGTAATAGCTCTTTCTCTGTGTGACCGTATCACACCGTGTCCTGGTTTGGTTTTTAGTCACAAAACTAATCTGGGCTGAGACAGTTTGGGACCTTTATTTTCAAGTCTCTATTGCTCTTCATGCTTGAGCCAGGGCTGAGTGAGTGAGGAGGAGAGGTGATCAGGGAAGGGGGAATGGATGGTACCTGCACCACCCATCTCTGCTGCCTGTGAACTAAACTACAGAGCATCATTAGCTTTGGTGTTGGAAGAGATTGCTTTGTTTGTTGTGCTGACTGGAGATTAAACATTCCTGAACTTGGTAGCTGTCCTAGAAGAATAGGGTCCTGGGCTAGTCATACAGGAAGGAAACACACTGACTCGGAATGAAGGGAAAGAGAACTTCAGCTCCAATGCTGAGTTCCCCATCGTGTAAGCTCAAATGCTTCAGGGCCCCGCTAACTCTGTGGAGTTTACACATGCTATTTATACATCAGAGATACAGTCATCCAGCAAGGCAGAAGTAGGGGCAGCCATTGTAGATGAGAAAAGAGAAACCAAACTAAAGTAAAAAACAATAATTTCTGTAATCTGTTAAACAGGTGTAAGTAAAATAAATAACTTTTTAAATCTCGTTGGCTTTAGCTATAAATTGGTAAATCTGTATCTGTCTGTCTGTCGTTTCCATTCTGTGCTCACCGTGATGGTATGTGACATCTCTGTTAGTCAGTAGGTTAACAATTGCGTAAATTGCTACATATAATCGGAGTCACTGAAGTCAGCAGGATTGTATGGGTGGTGAATGAGGAATCTGACATCCTATATCTTGCTTCATGTTAAATCAAGACTCCGTGGATGCAAAATGCAAGTTAAATTAATGCTAATGAGAAAGAAATTAGCTAGAAGGACTCTGAATGAGGCACCATGTTTAGTAATTACTTTTATTCTTTCTATGCTGAACCACAATGGATTTATGTTGGTTGCAGAGTGTTAGAGGCGTCACTTTTGAAAACAATTACCTCTATATTGTATTTGAAGTACAGGTACATTCTTATTTTTCTCCCTGTCTTTTATCATTAGGCATTAGATGGATTTCTCATTGCACTTACCACTGACGGGATTATTATTTATGTGTCTGATAGTGTCTCCTCTCTTCTTGGACATTTACCGGTAAGTTCTAACAACATAACGCTTGGACGCCTGGTTTTTAATTTAGAATGTTCAGATTGTTACACGCCTGAGACTCGACAACAACATCCCTCTGTTTGTGTAGCATGCACACTCCCCCAGCAAGCTCAGGGGTTGTGTACAGAGAGCCTTCACAGAGCTCCATGGGGCTGTGTGATATAGCTCAGTTACATCGTACAGGTGGCCTTGTGCCTGCCATGCACAATCTGACCCGAAGATTGTTATAGAGGAATGAATTCTGCCACCCGCATTGAAATCAACATCAAGATTTCCATTGACTTCAGTGGGGTCAGAATTCAGCCCTGTGCAAGAAATAGCTTTCTGATGCAGCTGCAGTGTCCAAGTGGCTTAGCCAACACAAGTGTGCATGAGGAGGATATATAGTGTGACTGATATTTTCCCTCATTTCTCAAATCATATCTTCCATTCAGGTTAGTAATACTGTATACCTGACTAATATCCACTGCCACATTGCGAATTGGGAGTTGCAGCATTCCCCACGTGGGGCCTGCTGGGCTGTGAGATGCTTCAGCTGGAGAAGCACTGTGTGACTTCACTTTTACTGAGAAACCTGTCATGTGCTGCAATACACTCACACATCTGGTGTAGTCAATTTCCATTCAGTTGTGCTTTGTCATACACAATATTAGCCATATTGTGTCTGTCATGGAGGCAAGAACTAACTGGATGAATGTGATGCCTTCCTTGGCTTATGTCATAAATATAAAGGGAAGGGTAACCACCTTTCTTTATACAGTGCTATAAAATCCCTCCTGGCCAGAGGCAAAGTCCTTTTACCTGTAAAGGATTAAGAAGCTAAAATAACCTTGCTGGCACCTGACCAAAATGACCAATGAGGAGACAAGATACTTTAAAATCTGGAGGGGGAGGAGCAAAGGGTCTGTTTGTCTGTGTGATGCTTTTGCTGGGAACAGAACAGGAATAGAGTATTAGAACTTGTCAGTAAGTAATCTAGCTAGAAATGCGTTAGATTTCCTTTTGTTTAAATGGCTGGTAAATAAGCTGTGCTGAATGGAATGTGTATTCCTGTTTTTGTGTCTTTTTGTAACTTAAGGTTTTGCCTAGAGGGAATCTCTATGTTTTGAATCTAATTACCCTGTAAGGTATTCACCATCCTGATTACAGAGGTGATTCTTTTACCTTTTCTTTAATTAAAATTCTTCTTTTAAGAACCTGATTGCTTTTTCATTGTTCTTAAGATCCAAAGGTTTGGGTCTGTGTTCACTTATACAAATTGGTGAGGATTTTTATCAAGCCTTCCCCAGGAAAGGGGGTGTAGGGTTTGGGGGGATATTTTGGGGGGAAAGACGTTTCCAAGTGGCTCTTTCCCTGTTCTTTGTGTAACACTTTGGTGGTGGCAGCATAAGGTCCAAGGGCAAAAGGTAAAAGTTTGTACCTTGGGGAAGTTTTAACCTAAGCTGGTAAAAATAAGCTTAGGGGTCTTTCATGCAGGTCCCCACATCTGTACCCTAGAGTTCAGAGTGGGGAAGGAACCTTGACAGCTTATGAACCCAACAGACCCTTAGGGAGTATCCCAAATTGTGTAAAATCCCTCAGTAATAGATTTTGCATTAGGATCTCTGACTTAGCTTAAAAAAAATGCAGAATCATAGTAGCCACAGCTTTCTGTACATCTGAGGCCGCTTATGTGTGTTGTTTGTTCCACCAAATGTCTGGAAAATATTGTGGTCATGGAATGTGCTCTTGATAATGCTGTTTTCAAATAATGTACAGATGGTGTGAGGGCTAAATCGCCCCACTTTTGATCAAACGCACATGGACATTAGACGTGTCTGAAGCCTGAGGTTTCTGGGAAGAATGTGTTACACTAGGAAGCAACAATTTGGTACAGAAGTTGTTTCTATTCCCTCAGAAGTGTAGTTAGTTCTACTCTTTGGTTCCAAGCATGTGCATATATGATAGCATGTCTACCTCTGATTTTTTTGCCATGTTTTAACACATTAACTGATATGATTGTAAATGCTAGTGTAGACAGGGCACAAACACATGTTGCCTTGACTCTGACTCTGGTCAGCAGGTCAGAGAAGCTTAAAAGAAACCACATTCCATTGGACTATGCAGTTCCATTCACCTTGAAGTGCTTTGTGAAATCGGGTTGATTTCACTGGAATTTTGTATCAAAAGAAAACCAGGGGAAAAAGTTCTGATGATGTTGAAATGATGTTTCAGCACTTTTGCACCAAAACGTTTTGGTTCTGAATGTACTTTTTGTTTCCGTTTTCAAATATTGTTGTTATGTTGCATTATGCTATACAAAATATATTTACAAGTTGAAATTGAAACAAAACATTTCAATCCACCTGCAACAAAAGACATTTTCAGAATTTTCCTTCCTGGAGAATTTTGAAATGTTTACCTTTTTTTCCTAATTTGGAATGCAGCCAAATTCTGAAATCTTGAAATCCTTCTTGAAACAGAGCTTCCTTTCTCCACACAGCTCCACTTCCTGTTACAAAACTATCAACAAATGCTTGTTTCCTGGAACAAATGTGTCTGTAGTGTGAAAAAGGGGTAATTACAATCCCCTTGGTTAATCCAAGAAACAGAAAAGCCCTGTGTAGATTCCGGACTTGACACTGAGCTACGGTCTGAAGAGATTTGACATCAGAAATTCACTGACAAACACTGTTAACTTTGAGTTATTGGACACCTGAATGTGAAATGAAGATGTCCGTGAGGGGCTGTACCACAGCCCACTCCCCGTGTGTCTGTTGCTTGATGGAAAGCTGAGGTAAACCCCAATAAACTCTGACACCATTCCTAGCGTAAGCCTCTTCCAAGCCTACTCCTTGGTACGCTTTGATGCAGCTCTGGTGTCAGAGTTTATTGGGGCTTCCCTGGCTTTAATCCTCTGAGTGATGGGGAGATCCAGGGGTTATATGAAAGTCTTTCCTTTGGAGTAGCACAAGGTTCCCCATGTAGTTGTTTAGCTCAGCTGCATTTTACTACAGAGGTTATGATGTGGATAAAAACCTTCATTTTTTTCCATATGGACCACTGATTTTTACACAGAATCCCCTATTTATTTCCGTGGGGAGTATCACGTGCAGACTCATGTCAGGATATGGCCACTTCACCTTGAGTGGTCCCTTAGAATATGCGCTCACTACATAGGCTAAACTATCTGCTCATCCTTGTATTTAGCTGTGACTCTCTGAGTACCTTTCCCTGACCTGAAGAAGAGCTCTGTGCCACTCAAAAGCTGGTCTCTCGCACCAACAGAAGTTGGTCCAATAAAAGACATCACCTCACCCAGCTTGTCTCTCTAATATCCTGGGACCAACACGACAACACTGCGTGCTTTCTATTTATGTCAGACAAGCAGAGAGTAAGATGGATTTTTTCCTGTACAGAAGAAAACACAGGATTAATGTTTCTGCTTATTTAGGATGAGATTGTATCTTTACTTCCTTCTCTCATTAGGGGTGTTGGGAGGATAAATATATTAAACGATTGGGAAGTGCTTTGAGATCAACTCAGGAATAGCAGTATATAAGAAATAGGTATTATTATTATTATAATTATTACAATCTGTCCAAGAGCAGTGCAGAGAATGAGAACCACAGTTCCTCTCTCTGTCTTCCCTGTACCGTTGTCTAATGTAACTTCCTCATGTTAAGTTGTCCTGTTAAAATGACTGCGTCTGCCCCACCGTTCTACCCATTGATCAAAGTGTTTGTGCCTCTGGACGGGTTAATGCTGTACTGTTGAACATGACAAAGCATTCTTTTGTATCAGTCAGATTTGGTGGACCAAAATATATTAAACTTTCTGCCTGAGCGGGAACAGAGTGAAGTGTACAAGCTCCTTTCTCCACATGTGCTCATGAAAGATCCTGTTGCAGCTGATGTTCTAAACCGTAAGCATCTCTCCAGACTATGGTTAAGGGGAAGATTCTAACCAGCAAACGGCTCCCAGGGAGAGTAACGATGCTGGCTTCTCTATTAGATAGTGCCGGTTCTCTTTCACAGGTTTCTAAAAATTCAGCACATCATTAAATCTGGTATTTGCCCTTTGATGTGTCACGTAATTTTTGTTGTTGTTTATTTCTGATCACAATCGAAAAATGAAATGACTCCCTTAGATTACTCTCCTGGGGTGAGATTCGGTGGTGAGCCTCTAAGGCGTGGAATTCACAGCCCAGAGGGAGAGCTGGCTTTAGCGGGGGCTTTTGTTTCCTTTTGATGCTGAGAGCATTGGAGAGGCCCTGGGTGGCTTGTCTATATTACGCGCCTCAGGACTACAGCTCTGCACACTACAGCCCTGTCCCCAGCTTGTGAGGGGATCCTCCAGAGTCAGCCTGATGACTGGCTTCCCCAGTACCTGTGCTGGGGGAGCCCTTCCTCAGACAGATATGGGATTTTCAGGGTCTTTGTATGCTGCTCTTGCCCCTTTTTATGCAGATTGGGGGCCGGAGGAAGGCAGGGTGAGTATATCACCCTCGGGCAGAGAGCCAGCATATGGCCTAATCAGTCCCCACTTAAGTATCATTTAAGCCCTCAAAATAAGATTTACCTGGAATTTCAGCGGTGCTCAGGCCTTGTGCTCATCCTGTGCACAGGGGAAATGTCACCCTTGCTGGAGATTATATAATCCAGGGAGTTTGTGCCTCAGAATATTCATTTGTAGTAGAGCCTGATCAAAAGCCCTTTCAAGTCAATAGAAAGATCCCCAGTGCCTTCAACCAGCTTCACTGGGGCTTGTGTACGTGGCACAGCAGTGTGCCTACAGGGAGGGGAGTGATTTCTAAAGCACGCTAATGTGTTGCATGCTCATTGGTCTGTGTAGACCCTGCTTGTGTGCACTAAAAGTTCCCTAGTGCCCTTTAACATGGTGCTGTTTGAGAGTGGTTGTATGTTAAACTAGGAAACTTGTAGTGAGCACCAGCAGGGTCATGGATCAATTAGTGTGAAACAAATTAGTGGGCTTTAGAAATCACACCCCTGGAGTGCGTACACTGCCACACTGTGTAGACAAGCCCTAAGGGATCTTGAGTGCAATCCTGGTCGCAGGATGTCAATAGCAAAAGTCACTTTGACTTCAGTGGGCCCAGATGTTCAGTCCTAGTACAGCAATATAAATAGGAGGCTATAGAGAATAGGGTGGGGGATACTTTTTCTTAGCCTAGCAGACAGATAAGTTTCTGCAGTTGCTGTTTATTTACTTTGGGATATCGGGAGCATCCCAACAGAATGTGCTCAGATACCACAGTGACGGAGTCTGTATAAAAACCTAGATAGATTAGATAGATGGAGTGTGTGAAAGTGCAAACATAGGGACTATTAAAAATGTTCTTTTCTCTCTCGTTTCAGCTGAAAAGCAAATAGAGTTTTGCTGCCATTTAGCAAGGGGAAGCTTAGATCCAAATGAGCCCCTAACATATGAATATGTGAAATTTGTAGTGGATTTTAAATATTTTACTCATGGTAAGTTATTGCTTCAGTTTACTCTGTCTCTGCCTCTCTCACTTACCCTCCGTCTTTGACCAGAGCCACCTTAAATGCCTTGTTGCACTTTAAAATGACATGTAGGCAGCAGAATGGACTGTGCTACCGATGTGGTAAGAGTCGTTTTCCAGGTGACAGCTGGGGTGGTCATTGGCTGTAAGGGTGGGGGTGGAATCCTCTGATTGTTTTAGTTGATTTCCAAGAGACACTATCAAATAGTTCAGATGCTACATTTGGCCTTGTGGTGCTACACATTTTTGAAAACAGTCCAGTTCATTCAAAAACAACCTAAAATGCTCTGGTTCGCTCAAAATGACACTTGGGAATGTTATTTGTTACCCTCAGTCTGTATAGGAAATCTGCAAAATCTTGAACCTTCCAGGATGGTGGATGCAAAAATGGCCATTTCCTGGAAATAAAATAAAATGAAGAAAGAGAGAGAGAGAGCGAATTTTCTGGATTTAATGTTGAAAATGCCCACATGAAAATGTTCTGCCTGGCTCTAATTCTAACATATAGTACAAGCTGCAGTCCTGTTTACTCGGCAAAATGTTCAGGGTTCAGAAATGGCATCAGTCATCCTTTCTTTCTCCCACTTCCCTTCTGTTCTTCACCTGGTAATTTTAATAGCCGTCATACTTTTGAAAGCCTGTCATAGCATGCTCGGTTCTTGCTGCCAGATTCCAAAAGGACCCCTATTATGAACTACTCTACATCAACAACCTTGAAACAAGCCCTCCTGTCAATCATTTCGAGATACAGGGTTTCTGTGCTGAATTTAAATGAATGGTGTTGTGTGTGTGTTGGTAATGGCATTGATTGCATAATATGTATGAGAAGTTTTGTTCACCATCTTTCCCATGATAGGCAGCTCAGGAAAGCAAGCGCTGTTTGGTTTACCACTCTCCCTCGGGCTGGGCCACATGCAGTATTTCTAACTACCAGCAAAATTAAGGCAAAATTCTCCCCACTAAGCCACACTCCATGTCTCCATTGTATAGTCTGCATCCATTCCTGGCAGTGAACTTCCAGAGATGTCCACATGGTTTTTCTGCATGGAACAAATGCAGAATATGATCCTCTGGATCAATATCATACATGTAGTGCAGCTAGGAGAAGAGAATTTGGCTAATCCACTAGTGAATTGTTTGCAAGTAAACTAAGATTCGTGTTTTCTGCTGTTTTGGTCTGTCATGGTAATTCGAGCTGAGATCTACAACGAACAAAGATCTTTTTCCCTAGTAGGAATGCTAAAGAGATTTTCCACCTAACAGATAGTTGAAAAAGCATAAACAAAATGTAACGAAAGTAATAAACAAGAAACCAACAGCTGAATTTCACTGTCTTTGTTTTAATGAACCTTGCAGTGCTTCTTGCCTTCTTAAGGTGCTTTCAGCTGGCAGGCTTAAGCGCATACACTTCAGTTGAGCTGAAGCTGTTACAAACAGGTTTTCTGCAAAGCCGAGGATTAGTAGTTGCACCTGTGTAACCTTTCCGATGTTTGAGCCAAGAGAGTCTAGATATGGACAAAGAATCCACCAAATAAGTCTTAAATGATCATCATTTGAACAAGTTTTAGGGGGGCATGTCTCTGATTGGCTCTGAGCTGTGCGTAGAAGGAGCTAAATTGTTCTGTTTTGTTGGTTACTGTATCTGCCTTGACATTTTCTTCTTGAAATGCTGATTTGGCTTGTGTTTTGTTGTGTTTGTCTAGTGCCTACACCCTCCTGCAATGGCTTTGAATCAGCTATCGCAAGAGTATTCAGGTCAGCCACAGAAGAGCAGATTTGCCTTGTAGCAACTGTTCGTCTTGTTACGCCGCAGTTTTTAAAGGTGAGAGCCCTCGGGCCATGTTTCCCTTTTCACACCAGGGATCTATAATCTATTTTAAAAAAATGATGCTTTCACCACAAGCGAAGTGAATGGATATTCAAGTCTGCTCATTCCTAAAGGAGAAATCTTGCAAAAGGGCCTTAAATCCTGCACTTTGAGAGCTGGACAGTGAATTATTCAGAGCTGAGGACCTGTGGATGAGGGCTGGGGATGGGAATTAGTGTCTGTAGTTTGCTTAAGAATAGCGGAGAACAAAAGAGGCTCTCTGCGCATTATTGCATTGCCCAGCGAGTGCGGACTTGCATTTGAGAAGAACCATCGATGATAGCACGAGAGGGTCCTCCTTAAGCCATATGTTCAAGAAGTTACAAGGAAACACGGTTTCCAGCTGAACCCCGGGAAAAGCTGTATCTCCGAAAGAAACTTGCCAAACTCACCGACTGTGTAAGAATACTGCCTGCTCTTTTCTGACCATGGGAACCATACTTTTTTAACCCACTGTTTATCCACAGAAGGGCACTATGTATATACTGTAATAAAGATAATAAAATTCAGTTGTGGCCCATTAACTGCCAGAGTGGTAGTTAGCAAAGAAATAACCTGCACCATTGGTTTATTATTATTTGTTTATTTGTATTAAAATAGCACTTAGGAGTCCTAGTCATGAATCAGGACCCCATTGTGCAAGGTGCTGTCAAACACAGAGCAAACAGACAGTCCCTGCCCCAAGGAGCTTACAATCTGCTGGACTTTAACATTGCCGTCCTTACTCAGACAACTCTCATCTAAAGGCTGGTGTACACTGAATGTTAGGTTGACCTGGCTGTGTCACTCAGGGGTGTGAAGAATGCCTTCCCCAAGAGACATAGTTGAACTCACCTCAGCCCCAGAGGAGACACCACTCGGTTGGCGGAAGAATAAGTCAGTTTATTCTCCAAAGAGTCCTTGTACGTGTTATAAAGCTGTGTTGTCACACAAGCCATTTTCCTAAGAGTGAAATATTAAAATGCACCCACTGTTCTGCAGGAGGTGTGCAACATTGAAGAGCCATGTGAAGAATTCACATCGAGACACAGTTTGGAGTGGAAGTTCTTATTCTTGGACCACAGGTGAGAGGATTGTTTTTCAGATATAAATACAACATGTGGTGATTGGAGAATATACAAACCATGGTTTAGAAAAGGAAAACTGTCCAGCAAATGTTGTCTGAGCCCCCAAGCAGAATATTTCACATTAAATGAGAACACTAAGGTGACACTGGTCAAAGCCTACACTTCATGCCTTCTTAAAAGCTTTGCTCTCTTTCATATTTAAGGGCAGTAAGAAACTGTGTTCGTCTTCCATTAATGTGAGCTGGAAATATAGCACATATAAAAATGTCCAGGTTCATTGTGGTACTAAATAAGTTATTAACATAGAACCACGTGGGCCATATTCTCCGCTAGTGTAAATAGGCAGAACTCCATTGATTTCAGTTGGCAGCAGCTGAGAATCTGACTCTGTTCTTTGCCCTGTTGATTTGCATCTTGATATAGAATTAAAGTTTTTTTTTAAAAAAGAAACAAATTAAAAGAATGGATAGTTGTAATTATTGACTTATTTTGACTGAATGGAGATAAGATACTACTGGGGAGTGAAATAGACTGGAGATCACTTGGTAAAACTTTTTTAATTATAAAAGGGCAAGTGTCCTTCAAAAAAAGCATAAAGCCTTTGTACTCTTGCTTATTTGTGTGTGCGCATGAATACCTAACAGTATTACACACGTTCCCTTCTTCCATAATGCACAATAGTACTATCCCCGGAGAGCGCAGACTCTAGCCATGTACTTACCACTGGAAAACCAGGCTGAGAAATAAAATTCCTTTGCTGAAGGCTTATTTTCTAAAGAAACCCAAATACCACCCTGTACATTCAGAGAGAGAGGGGAGATATTGCAAGAAATGAAAATGAAATTAATATATTAATCAGAATAACTACCCTGGAAATCCTGTCTTGAGGTACTGATGAGAAACCACTTCTGCTGCAGTTTTGTTTGCATGTTACTCATGCTGTCGAGGTCTAATTAATGTAACTTTATAAGAATTGAAATTGGTATATGCAGTAGCCTAAATTTTTAAAAGTGGATGTCTAAAGTTAGGCTAAGTCAATACTGAGATATCTAAAGCAGCGACTGGTTCTCAAGGGGCTGAGCACCCAGCAACTTCTGTGAAGAAAGCTACCAGGAGCTGGCCTAAGAGCTTTAGTGAAATATATCCAAGTGCCTTGTGATGAATCTGGGATGTGACTCAGAGAGGAATTTTTCTATTTCAGTCCTGGTGATATCCCCTGTGAGAAAACCATTGTTCCTGAGCGTAAATTAAGCTAACATAGGCGTTTAGCTGGAGTGTATTGCAGTGCCTGATGTCAGCAGTGAACATGGAGCCAGGAGTGTGCTTTCACTCGTTCAGTCATTGGTTCAATGCACAATTTAATAGAATAGTAGGGGCACCGCGATTCTTTCATAGAATATTGTCAGCTATTTCTCAAGGATTATTTTCCACTTTTGCGGGGCTGATCCTGAAAGGTGCTGAGGCCATAGGTGTAGCTGGTGCTGAGCTCTACTCAGAACCAGGGCCTCGTTCGCTCAGACCTAGCGTCTGCAATGGAGCGCAGAAGCAGGTTAGGACAGTTCTGCTGAGCTATATAAACATCGACCAACTAGAAACATCTGGAGCCTAAAATTACATAGAGACATCATTTAAGGGAAAAAACAAACCGGATGCTTTTGTATTGGTCTGTTTCTGTTCCATATTCTACTCCCTCCTCCATCGTTTGTTGCTCTAATTACAGTATTGTTAAAGGATCTTCTCCTGCAATCCCTGCACTTCAGTGATAACTTGAAGTCCATCCCTTTAGCCTTTCACACTGCATGCAGTCACTGATCTCCTACTCAGAAAACTTGAACAGTTCCTTTAGCACAGGGAATTGCAGACTTCCTTAGCAGTGACTAAGCTAGCTAAAAACTTTCAGATTGCTCAGCCAACATGCCGACTCCTTCTCCAATCCCAGGTTAGAAACATTTTGTGGTTACATTCTCAATTAAAGAATCAGTTCCTCTAAATTATGATGACAAATCTGAAAGCATTGCACTTTCCTGAGCTGCTTAAAATGTTTGTCTGACGTTCCTCTGAAAGAATTATTGTCATGAAGATCAGTATGTTATTTCAGGCCCAAAAGACATTGGCTTGGTGGCATAGACAGACAGAAATAAAAGCCAGTTTAATAAATACACGTTCTGTCACATTTAATAGAAATCTGGGTCAGATAAAGAAAAGGAGCACAATGCTCTGTAAAAGATATTTTGGGTAAATATGACTCTCTTGTTTCTATTATTGTAGGGTCCCCTAGGCACTTTCCCCAGCTGTCCCAAAGAACTCACGATCAGAGAACGCTGACATTTGCTTCCCACAGATAATTAATGATGTAGGAGCAGGTTTTCAGAAGTGCTGAAAACCCGTGATGAGAGCTTGTGCTGCCTCCTAATGGCCACAGGAGACCGTTATGGCATTTGGGTGTAAGGGTCTTTGGCCACCCCTCCTTTACCCCAGCCAACCTCCTTTTGCAGGTGCAGGGAGTGTATAAATTGTGACAGCCCTAGGTGATCCTCCCATGGCTGGCTATGCTGTACTTAGAACCACTCGGTGTGGATGGAGTAGTGCAAATTGTCCCTAAAACGGGGGAGAATCTAGCTCTACTCTGGCCTGGTTTACTTGTGTCATGTGGATGTGCATTTGGTGCATTCGGTATGGTCTGAATCTAGTGCAGTGGTTCCCAAACTTTAACAGCCCACGAACCCCTTTCACTAAATTGTGAAATCTCATGAAATCTCATCCTAAAAATGAATATTTCCAGGGATTTAAATTTCCTCCACACTCCGTGAGGCTCCTGCTGCTGGACCCCGTTGACCACCCCAGTCAACTGAGCTCCACTGAGCTCAGGCTGCAGGTCCCGCTGACTGCCGGGGCTCGGGCTGCCAGCTCCAACTGCCCAGCCCCGCTCTCCCTGGGGCTCGGGCTGCCAGCCCCGCGTGGAGCGCTGGGGTTCGGGTGGCCAGCTCCCCCGCTGATGGGGGCAGGGTTCGGGCTGCCAGCCCCAACTTCTCGGCCCCGCTCTCCCTGGGGCTCGGGCTGTCTTCTCTGCAACCGGGTCCCACCTGCTACCTCCAATGCCCGGGGTCCTCTGGCCACCATGAGTGAAATTTTTCTGGCAAATCCCCTGTAATGTTCTGCGAACCCCAGTTTGGGAACCACTGGTCTAGTGGTTGATGGCATTTAGCTCAGGCAGTAGAGGCTCATGCATTAAGATCCAGAGATACCAGGTTCAATCCCCACTCCTGACAACCCCAGTGTTATATTCACCCCCGATCAGAAAGCTCTAACGTTGCTTAAAGGTGGCAGCTGCATTTTGTTTGCTGTCTCATCAGCAGGTGCTATTTATCTCTGAGGGCCAAATCTATCCTCCCTTGTGCCAGTGCAACTGTTCACTGGGAGGAGCTGAGAGAAAACTGTGGCCTTTACTCATTTTCTGTTTCATTATTTCGTCTATTTCGTTAACATGTTAAAAAAATCCAAACTTTAAAAACTGAAACAGTAAAATCCCAACTAGCGCCATATTCTACTTCTGCCTTGGGAGTGTCCCCTATAATGGGCTGCAACCCGCTGTCATGAAGGCCAGTGTGAGGTTTGCCATTGATTTCAGTGTGAACAGGATTGGACCCATTAAGAATGTAGCTGTGCTGTGCTATTGTGTGGCTTGCTCTGCTATCCACGTGAGTGTTTGTATCTCTTTATGAATGTTCTAGCTTAGAACCATAGCAGATGACAAAGATCTATGAAGTTATTCTGGCTATTCCCTTTCCAGGACTGGTTTGCTTTCTAGAACACTTCCTAGTCCTTTGCCATCCTTACGTCCACAGAGTAACAAAACTCACTCTCAAGATGTTTTTCCTGATAGTCACTCTATGTTTCCCCTTTCTTAATTTCTTCCCATTGCTCCTACTGATAGTCCCCTGTTAGTAACAGCATCCTCAGTGATTCTACTCCTTCCTTGACATTTTTGCCTTTCGGATGTAGACAGTTACCATGTTGCATGCCCACCTGGCTTCCTCATCTTTTAGTCGTCACTTAACCAGTCTACACGTATGTAGCAGTTGTAATCTTTTCTCATAAAGCTTAGTTAGGTTTGTTTCTGTTCTCTGAACTCTTTCTAAATCTGTTTGACCATGTGGTGTCCAGAAATGAATGCAGATTGCAGTGGAGCTGTATCATATATCGACCAGGACTGGATCTTTTTCTAAAAGTTACGTTATAGCTCAAGGAGAAGTTATGGGTTTGGTGCAGAAATTACTGTACCATGGCAAGTGTTTTGCAGAGGGTCACACTAGGTGGTCTTACAGGTCTCATCTGACCTTAGAATGTCTGACTCTAGAGAGAGCCCAATCCAGTGCCATGCGTGTCAATGGGAATCTTTCAGTGGGCTTGGATCAGGCCCACAGAGAGGGTTTACCTCTTGGCTCTGTGATGCTGGGCATACAGCCCAAATTCACACATGCCTTTTTCGTGTCCGCTTGCACTGCAAACTCCTATTGACAAAGCGCTGTCCACTCTCCCTGCGGACATTACTGGTTCCCAGGATTCTCCCTCCTTTTAAATCCAGAATCTCTGGTTTGGATTATTCCGCCTCCCCCTGCAGCAGATTAGCTTGCATTTTTCCCAGCTGAATACATTTTGTTATTTCAGGCCCATATTTCAAGCCTATTTTAAGGTCACCTGGTGGCACTGGCCTTCCGCAGAATGGTACTAAGACACACCAGCATAGAGGAGAATGGTCCTCTCTTTTTATGCCTTCAGCCTGTTCCTATGACGTTTAATTTTAAAACATTAACTATTTTGGGAATATATTGCCGTGTTTACTCTAGAGGAGTGAACTGAAAATGCTGCTTGTCATAGTGTTATCACACCCAGCAGCCAAGTCAAATGCACAGTGAAGCAAAGGGAAGGGTAAGAAGCCAAATAAACAGAATACGGCCAAATTATGACTTCCAAAGCAGACACAGTGTTCCCATTGAAGTACTGGGAGTTGCACATATGCAGCCGAGGGCAGAATTAGGCCTGTTCTTATGTGCAATAGGTGTAATAATTAATTATATCTTTGGTCCTGACTCGCAGTGTTGTGCGATGAGAATTATTTCCCAGGTGTTACCATGGCCTTGTTCTAGTGCAGTTCATTTACCACTTCACTATTGTAATTGCACCTTTTAAAAAAGTTCTCATTTTCAGCTTGAAAAGATGTAATTTAGTATTGGATTTCTAAACGCTGAATTGGAATTGGAAGCTTAAACCTGGTCCTCATTTTGTTTCCTCCTCCGTTCCCTGTTCATCTGCCATAGACATCAGAGTCCTGGAAACCAGCTCTACATCTGTTCAGAAGGAAAATCTTTATTCTATAGAATGCACAGAAATCATTTTGCTGGTTTCAGTTCCCCAAGCCATGCCACGGGAATAGATTACTTCTCTTATAACCAAGCGTGTCCCTACATCCACCGGAGAGTCCTGCTTAGGGCTTGTCTACATGAACACTTAGATTGTGGCAAGCTGGGGTGTGAATCTACCCCATGCTAGTCTTCTGTGCACTGAGTGTCCATGGGGACCATGCTGCTGGGCACTAAAAGTTCCCTAGTGCGTTTAATCTACGCTCATTGCAAAGCAGTGTAGATCAAAGCACACTATGGGACTTGGATTGCACGTCAGCAGGATCCACACGGACAGTTAATGTGCGGCAGGCTGCTGCGGGGTAGATTTATGCCCCAGTTTGCCACATACTGAGTGTTCATGTAGACAAGCCCTTACTGTTTCTTCTACAGTTCTTCCCCAGATGACATTTGCACCCTGCCTACTGGATAATTTTACACAGTCTCCAGTGTATTATGCACACGAACATCCATAGCATTTCTTAAGCTAACAAACATGATTAATGAATGAGTCACTTGCATACATACGTGCTTTTCCATACACCCACATAATGAATAGACAAGGAAACAATAAACAGATACCTTCTCATTTACTCAGTTTTGACATGTTTATCTTTATTTCTCACTCAGATACAAAGAAATCAATATCACTTCCAGCTTTCTGGCAAGGAGATATTTGGTTTTTAGTTTGCTAAAGATCTACCAAATGGTCATCCCATCAGGTTTTGTATTTACGTCTTTCTCTTTGCGTTTATTCTAGGGCCCCGCCTATTATAGGGTATTTACCCTTTGAGGTTCTGGGAACGTCAGGTTATGATTATTACCACGCTGATGACCTGGAGCTTCTCGCTAGGTGCCATGAACACTGTAAGTTCCTTTCTCATTGCTTGCAGGGAACTGACAACATGCACTTATGACACTTGTGTGAGCAATAGCTCACGAAAGCTTATGCTCAAATAAATTTGTTAGTCTCTAAGATGCCACAAGTACTCCTTTTCTTTTTATGTTTATTAGGGAAATTCTTTCCTATTCCTGTAAAATATGGCTTAGTTCATGCCTAACTAGGAAAGATGAATCCCTAGGACTCTGTTATTTTATCAGGGCAAGTTTTATCAGTGAGAACTTGCCAAACTGGCAGATATCTGTTGTGTTTGGGTGCTGGAAGTCAGTTGCCCTAGCATATGGTTACTGCAAAACTGAGAGCCAGAGCTCTTGTCCTCCTTTCCTGACTCTGCTGTTGTGTTGCTGTGCGAACAACCTTGATTCTTGGGTTTTTGCTGATTGTCACAGCTGCTGAGCACTCTCCATTCCCATTGTCCTCAGTGGAACTATGCATACTTAGCACCTCTGGAAAACAGCTTATAATTAAGTTCTGAAGCAGGTTATAATTAAGTTCTTTGTGCCTAGATTACCCATCTGTAAAATAAGCATAATAGTGCCACCTCATTAAGTTGTTGTGATACTTAATTACTTACTATTTGTAAAATGTTTCTAACATACTGAGATGGTTTCTCAAGAAATATTGTGCACAGATTCCCTGTTGGCTAAAACGGGTGGTATCTGTCAGTCAATCTCTCTCTCAAATCAATCCGAGAGGAAGGAGTAGTTTTATCAAAAGTGCAAAAGAACTAATTCTATAGGGCAGGGGTGGCCAAACTGCGGCTTGTGAGCCGCATGTGGCTCTTTTACGGTTGAAGTGTGGCTCCCAGAGCGCGCCCCCTGCCCCCATGTCCTCCCTTTTCCACCTATCAGACTGAGGCGGGGGGAAATTCGTGGCTTCTGCCCTGCAGCAGACTGATGGGGCAAGGGGCTTCTGCCACAGATGACTGATGCCTGCTGAGGGGAGGGGCACAATTTAAAGGTTCTCCCCCCCCAAAAGCTTGAGTCATGCCCCACCAGGCACGCTTCCCCCTCAGCAGCCCGTCCCTGCAGCTCCCAGGTGTTAGCTCCCCTTGGAGAAGCAGCCGCAAATAGCTGGGAACTGCAGGAAGGGGCTGCTACTCCCAGCTGTTTGCTGCTGCCTCTCCCCATGGCCGCAGCTCCCAGCGTGCCCACGCCAGCAGCTGCCATGCAGGAAAGAGACCCAGTGGCACCATGTGACCTAGCAGGGCCAGCAAACCCTCTGGCAAAAATCTCAGGGGGTGTGTGACCCCATGTTCCCCTCTCCCCCCAGGCATCATCTCTGGCTTCTGCCCAGGGGGAGGGGGTCTCGGGGCTTCAGCCCCATCGGGCACGGCTGCCAGGGCTCAGGCCTTCAGCAGGAGTGGGGCTTAAGTTCTGAGCCCCAGCAGGTGCGCCCCAGCTCTCGAACGTCTGAAGATCGTTGTATGTGGCTCCGAAGGTCAGTAAGTTTGGCCACCCCTGCTAGGTATAGTTGTACAATAAGGAACTGATGAGGGTGTATGTGCAACCCCTGCCCTCTGCTGGATAGAATCAGAACTGCTCAATGGTGTGTCACCGTCCTATATCGCAGGGACAGTTCTGAGGTTATGTGGACCCCAGGGGATCTGCAGCTGCCCATTGTCATCTGGGCAGAAGCTCTGTGTCTGCACTAACTCTGGAGCAATTAGCTAGCTTCCAGGTGATATGGTGTCATTGGCAAGATGTGGGCAGCTTCTGGCTGGATACCCTGTGGGTGCTCATTCCCACCCCGTTTCAGATCTCTGACCCCACAGAGGACCCTCTGGGGTTGGGGATTAGAGGGTTGGTGCCGAATAGGCAGGGACAGATGCTGCCCCACTCCATATCCTGCACAAGAAGATCAACCCTGCACTGATAACTCTGGGGAACAATCAGGCCCAGTGTGTATGCGAATGTGCCATGTGTGAATGCCATTATTGGGGCAATAAGGTAACAAAAATCAAATGGAGCTCTGCAGGCAAGTTGCCATAGCCCTTGTGTCACACTTCAGGGCAACTGCACCTGTATTCCCCCTCTGGTCCAGCAAAGGCACCCACTTAGGCTTCTGGTTTCCCAGCTCTCACCTCTGATGGGTGGAGACACAAATCTGTCTCCCTCCCGACTGGGGTATTTCCAAGCTGCACAGCTCTGTGAATTCCCCACCAAGTCCGACTGCCTAAACAGGCCTCCTTTGCCTTCTCCTCAGAGGCTGTAAACAGCATAATTGCCAACAGTTAAGTTACCACACAGCCCTTTGTAAGCAAGCACATTTATTCTTAAGGTAAAAGCAGTACAGAGAAAACATTAAAAGCAGTAAAAGAAGCTACACGCATGCTAATAAGCTTACCAGAGATCACCCCAACTCTACTACCAAGGGCTCTGACAGGGGGTTAGTCCTTCAAATACCACATAGGTGGTTTTCTGTGGTTACACATTCATGATGCCTTTTGTTCAGAATAAGAACACCCAGGAACCCTTTATCCAGCCTCGGTCTTTGATCTGGGAGCAAGTACTTGATAGACAATGGATTTCTCCTCAGGGCATAGCTTCAAAAGGTTGGGTCCAGAGGTATAAATTTGCATTTCCTTCCTCCCAAATATTTCCTGGGAAATCCCACGCAACTTCTTTTATCCCAAACATTCCTTCTTGTCTGACCCATTGTTTAAAAGAGTCCTTTGATGCTCAAGGGTTTACATTAATTATGCAATGAACTCCTAAAATACATAAACTGAATTCAGTAAGGTTTGTCCAGGACATTTCAGGAAATTGCCATGTATGTCACAGTCTGGTATTACTGATTACATTTCATTACTGGTAATAATGTGTGCTGAATGTTCTCATTAGCCAGATTAGGAAGAGCACTCAACCTGCTGCTATCTACCCAATGGTTTGCTTTTAAATTCTTCAGGGACTATCCATACCATGGCTGGCTTGCTCCCCGCTACAATATATCATGCTGCTGTTACTACAGATCTCACTGGAGCTTGGAGCTATTCTAAGGAGGGGCTGGGAGGAGGGATTGGGTAAATGGGGTTGTTTTACTACCTGGTGTGGGTTTGTAAAGCTTCTCTGTTATTGTTTTATGACCCCATATTTTTTTCATTTCATCTGAACCCTATAGGACCTGAACCCCTATAAACCAGCTCTCTTCTCCAGCTGGCTTGTGCAGGTGGTGGGAGCATGCTCAGCTACCCCATTGGGGACAGCCAGCCATGACGGGAATGCACACTATAGAACCTTAGATGAAAACTCAGGTTTTAAGTTCCTTCTTAAGCACTCAATTCCCAGTCTCAGCTGCTTCTGCTCTCATCAAGACGGAGCACTATATACAACACTTGTAGCTTCCATGACAGCCATGAGCCTCACATTGTAGTGTCCAAAAGGGTGCATTTTTGACTTTACTAGCATTAAAGGCTGTATACATAGGTGCCGGCTTCCTCCAGGCCCGGGTGGGTGCTCAACCTCCTGCTCCACCCCGACCCCTTCCCCCAAGCCTCCATCTCCGTCCCTCCTCTTCCCGCCCCTGCTCTGCCCCAGGCCCTGCCTCCCCATCCCATCCCCCAAGCCCCCGCCCTCACTCCACCTCTTTCCTGCCCAGTTCCACCCCCTCCCCACAGCGTGTCCCATCCCCACTCCTCCCCTTCCCTCCCAGAGCCTCCAGCATGCTGTGAAACAGCTGATTGCGGCAGGCGGTAGGTGCTGGGAGGGAGGGGGAGCGGGGCAGCAGGTGGGCAGGAGGCACTGGGGAGTGAGGGGGAAGCTGGCTGCCAGCGCGTGTTGGAGCACCCATGGTTGTATATGTAATGCAGTGTATGTGTGCAGGTGGGTGACACCTTCCAGTACTATTGCCCCAAGACTGTAGATGCAATTATAGAATTTGGAATTGAGTCAGTTTCCAATTGTGAGTTAAGAGTAGTTTCCGGTGCTACATGTACTTCTCGGTCCCCCCGCCTTATCTTGTGTTTTTGCATCCCGTTTTCCCCTTCCCTCTTGCTGTCAAAAGACCCAGACAAACAACAGGGGAACTGGTTCCAGAGTAGCAGCCGTGTTAGTCTGTATCCGCAAAAAGAAAAGGCGGACTTGTGGCACCTTAGAGACTAACAGATTTATTTGAGCATGAGCTTTCGTGAGCTACAGCTCACTTCATCTGATGCATTCAGTGGAAAATACAGTGGGGAGATTGATATACACAGAGAACATGAAACAATGGGTGTTACCATGCACACTGTAAGGAGAGTGATCACTTAAGGTGAGCTATTACCAGCAGGAGAGCGGGGGGCGGGGGACGGGACCTTTTGTAGTGATAATCAAGGTGGGCCATTTCCAGCAGTTGACAAGAATGTCTGAGGAAGGGGGGGGAGGGGGGAGATAAACATGGGGAAATAGTTTTACTTTGTGTAATGACCCATCCGCTCCCAGTCTCTATTCAAGCCTAAGTTAATTGTATCCAGTTTGCAAATTAATTCCAAATGTCCTTATGTTACCATGTGCTTGCAGTCAGGGGCTTTTTACCAGCCATAAGGGTGAGTGATGGAGGGGAGGGGGCAGAGAGGAGTGAGTGGGGGTCAGGGTCTTGGGGGGGAGGGGCAGCGCAGGAGCGGGGCCTCAGGGGAAGAGGCAGTGCGGAGGCGGGAACTCGTGGGGATGGGGTGTCGTGAGGGCAGGGCCTTGTGGGAATAGGTGGTGGGAGGTGAGGGGAGAAGGGGTCAGGCCTTGGGGAGAAGAGGTGGTGCGGGGGCAGGGCCTCAGGGGTCGTGCAGGGGGCAAGGCCATGGTTCAGCCTATTTAGATACCTAACTCTACTGGATCTGTGGGTGGAATCTGATACTCAGGCATCTAATCTACCTACTTAGTTACTTATATTCCCCATCCCGATATTTTCTGAGCACCTCACAAGTGCTACAAAAGTTATCTGCTCAGCTACCCCAGCATGGACAGGAAGTGTTGTTATCCCCATCTGGCACGTGGGCAATCTGAGGAACAGACGATTAAATGACTTGACTCAGGAAACTCAGGAAAGGTACTCAGGAAATCTGCAGGAGAGCTAGGAAGTGAATCCAGCTGACATGGCTCCCAATACAATGCATTAACCACAAGACCATCCATTCTTCTCTGTGGGCCTCATCTAAAGCCCTTCGAAGTCAATGGGAGTCTTTCCATTGAGCTCAGCAGGCTCTGGATCAGCTCCTGAAAGAGCTCAGTTGTAGGCAGAGTGAATTGCTGGTGCAAAATTGTGCCTTTAGTTTGGGAAGCCCTTTTGAAAGCTTGGTCATTAATATTACATTTTAGTAAACAACCCTTGTTAAATGGTATTTTAAAAGGGAGATGTAAGTGGTTAACTTTAGGCACAACTGGGTCTCAAAGAAAGACTTGGTTCCATTCATATACAGTCTAATCTGTGGACATTTCAATTAGCAGTTAAACAGACTTTCCACTTTCAGATCAGGGTTCTTCTATTATAAGCTTCCTGACTTTAAGCCAGCAATGTCTGAAATGCATGCAGCTAGACTGATAAAGTGCCAATGTACTGTTCGGTAGATGTCATTTATATGTACTGTTTGCTGGCAAAAAGCAGAATCTCTGCCTGTGCCAGCTATGACCATTTATAAAAACGAACCCCAAATCTTGGAGCACTTTCTTTTTAAGTTAATAACCGCAAATCAGATTAAAACTCAGCACCTGGTTGAAAATGTAAGCAATGTTGAGGAAGAATTGATAGCAATGTTCGCGCTGTTAGACGGGACAGAGCTATTCTTCTAATCTCAGTCACAATCAGAATGTAACTGTTATTAACCAAATTGTTTCTTTTCGTTTAACAGTGATGCAATTTGGAAAAGGAAAGTCCTGTTACTACAGATTCTTGACCAAAGGCCAGCAATGGATATGGTTGCAAACACACTATTACATCACGTACCATCAGTGGAACTCCAAACCTGAGTTCATTGTTTGTACACACCTTGTAGTGAGGTAGGAATATGTGCTTAACACTTTCTGTTCATCAGTGTGCTCATCTATTCCATTTTCCATTCTTTTATGTGTTAGCCAAATATTTGTGGTGTGATTCGACTCACTGTGATGATACATAGTTACATAAAATTATTATCGGTGAGAACTTGGAAATTGTTTTTAATGTTTTCATTACTCACTTTTTGGCAACCAAGCCAAAAAGCCTGGAAGCAACATTTGGCTGAGTATATTATGTTCCACTTCTGTCCTTAGCCATGACACAGATCCATCAAAAATTTAAAGCTGTTCATAACCAGAATGCTTTATGGATGTCAGTGCATCCATACACTTCTTACAAACCTTTTTGATCACAACTTTAGATAGTTGTTACTTGGAGATAGCTGTTTATGAACTGTAAAAATTAGCATATGACACCCCCTAGTGGTGGTTCTGTTGTACTCATGGCATTAAATGGGCTATAAATCTTGTACAGTCTTGTTCTAGTTTTGGAGGTTTGTGATACACAATTATTGGGTTGGAATCTGCTTCCATCTGTGTCAGTGGTAAATTTCCATTGCTGGTTCAAACAAGACTGAGTGTATACTTAGAATGGATTTAGAGGAGGGTTTTAAAAAGAAATGACATACCAGTTTGGGGTCAGCTAATTTTAGTAAAAATGTGAATTTATCCTTGTCTTCCCTGTTTGAGACTATCAAATATTTGGAGAAAAGCCCATTAGTAACCAGTTTTTCTGTTTAGATATTTTGAAATACAACCTTAAGAGCATCGTATCCTAATAAGTAGGCATATGTGGGTAGAATTTTATATGCTGGTATAAACCACACCCTGAGAGCTGTTTTAATTTGAATGCGTTCATGACAGTAATTACATATCTTGAGGCTTGTTGATTCTGCCTTGTTTTGGGAAATTTTTAGACCTTTCTGTCACCTAAGGTTCCGGCCTTATGGAGTGTGAGTGAACGTATTTTTCTGTCTCTGTCTCTGGTACATGCACATCCTAAAGTCCTAGACACACATCAAATAGTTCAGGTTGAACATACATTTTACTTAGTAAAATAGAAAAATTAATAGAACCTTGGATTTGAAAGATGAAATAAAGGAAATTGGTGGCTAAGGAGCCAGATTCTGAAGTGGTGTAAATGGGCAACTCCCAATTGACTTCTTAATGGATCTGTGCTCATTCACCCCCCCTTAGAATCTTACCCCAGCCTTAGTTCTAACACTGTACCCTTGCCCACACGCCATATACATACTGGAGAGTCTCTGAAATATCTCCTGGATTTTAAGAACTCTCATAGTTAAATCTCAGGTCTTATAAATCATTAATGTTTTATTATTTAAGAGACAGTTAGTAAGAGCTGCAAGTGAGCTTACTCTGAGGCACATTCTCCAGGGGACTCAATGGGCTTTAAATTTGGCTTATCACTTACCATCATTCCACATGCACAGCTTCCATTGAAGTCGGTAGGTAGATTTGTATTCCAATCTGTGGTGATGGCTGCATGCTTTGAAAATGTGCCACCCCATGACTGAGAGGAAGGTTCCCGTGCAAGTGTGATATTGTTCAGTTACAAAAACAGGGGTCACAGCCATGCAGGCCTTCCTCAGGCAAAGCTCCCTGGGGAGTAGCTTGAGTCCCATTGAGCGACTGTACCACTGTTATTAAGACACACAAGAAATTGTCTACAGGCTGGAAGCGGTGTGTACCTCCTACTACCACTTACCTGCATCAGGACTGTTTCTCTGACAGGCTGTGGAGAATGGGGAGTTCCTCTGTGAAGGGAATTGTGGTAAGGATGAAGAGGCTCTTTTTCCCTGCTGTTCACGAAGGAACACAGTCACAGAGCTTTGCTTTGAGTATTGTTTTGCTGTCAGACATTTAGGGCCAGAATTTATAAATGAGCATCTCAGTCGGTGCCCCAGATTACATGTGCAGCTTCTTGCATCTGCTCTGCAGTTTTGCATGTGCAAATGGTACATGTGCACCTGTAAATCAGCAATTAGAGTGTAGAATACTGTACCTTTTGCCCACGAACAATTGTGTGTACAAAGCTGGAGGTACAAAATAAGAGGTCCTCAGAGAATTGTATGTCAGCTTAGCTGTCATTAAGGAAGCAGTCATCGTTTTTATTTCACAGCCTATTTTTTACTTCCAATAGGCAATAAGAATTGTGTTCTAAATCTCTCTTTTTCCCCCAATGTAGTTATGCAGAGGTTCGAGCCGAAAGAAGGAGAGATCTTGGCCTTGAGGAGTCATCAATCGAACTGGCATCTTCTTCTTTGAAGGTAGTGCATGCTGAAGGGAGCGAATAAAAGGAACTCATTAATGTTAGAAATACATACGGACTACACCTTCCCTGTTTCCCTTTACTCACCTCCAAACCGAATAGTTCTTTATCTTTCAAACCCACCAGGAGGATTTCCACACTGCTTTGCACTAAAATAGCTCGTTTATAACAATGCAAACTCAATAATTGCATCGTTATTAAACTGTTAGGTCAGATCTCCCGCTCTCTCTGAGACCTTTACTCAAATTATATCTTAAGCCACCTCAGTTCAGCAGAAGAAAAGACGCTATTTTACAGAGAGCAGAATGAAGTTTATTAGATAGTAAATGATATACTAACTCTCAGTAACACCGACATACAAGGCACTGACTACAGATCAGTACCACAGTGTTTGCCGCTTTTATGCTGACTCACCATGGGTAATCAGACAAAGATGGGAAGTGAAGGGAAAAGCATGATTTATTGATTTTTGTTTTCAGGTCTCAGCCATGTTTGCAAGGTTGGGCAGAGCTGTGATCATAGCTATAATTTCCATTGTTTGGATCAATCGGGCATCGTCACTCATGCTCAGTTAACAGGGTCATTTCAGTTTCGTTTAAATATATCCACCGAATAGCTTCAAAACAAGACATTGGAAAGTCAAAGTCATTTCAAGTGGCTCATTTGGTAATCGTTTGGGGTTATCAATCCGCTAGCTTTCTAACTCTTCAGATATTACTTTAGAGAAGCCAGTTCAAGGGAGGTGCAGGGGGGCTGATTATATAATAATAAATCTTTAATACACTGTGATCCTTACATGGCAGACTGCTTGGGCACGGTGGAGCTGATTGCTGAGTATGTGTGTGTACGTGAGTTAGACTGGTTACAGACCATGGTGTATTTTGGAAAGTTTGCTGTCTTAAAGAGCCTCTGTTGCATTCAAGCAAAGACTCATTCTAGCAAACAGCTCTCACTGACCTGCCGGGGCACTGCTTTCCTGCCTTTTCTTTCCCATCCCTATTGATTGCCAAGACATTACTACCCAGACCTCGAACTCGACCTGGCTGGCCTCGGGTGGCAGGGGGGATGAAAAAAGGACAAGCAGCTCTGTCTCTCCCATTGGAGGGAGAGCAGGAGGAGGAGGGGTGCGAGGTTAGCATGATTAGCTCCCTGGATGGGTGTGGAAGGCTGGCAAACAGTGCGGGGAATGTGACTGGCTTGGCCGTCCTGTTGCATGAGAGGAAGGCTGTTTTGCCCTCAGTGTACGTAAACAGTGTGCTGGGTGGCTTGTTCGTGTAAAACCTCGGGCTCCTGTCATGATTGTGTAGGGGGCAGGGATTAGGCCAGTCCCCTCTCCAAATATTTTGCCAGACCCACTGCCTTACTTGCTAGAGTAGCTCCATTGGAGTCAGTGTGACTACTCACATGGGTAAGGAGAGCAGGGATCTCAGCTTAAGCAGACACTCGCCACCTGGCATTGGTTATACAAGCTAATCAGGCTGCGGCCGATATCCCCCAAAATTGGTCTGTATCTCCTCCCAGCCCCCTCCCACCACATCTGCAACAAATGAAATGTTTCCCTTTTCCAGCCAGCCGGTTCCTCCTGCCACGTTCACTCGCTCATTCCCCAGTCACTGCCCAGCGTGTCCGAGCCAATGAGCTGGGACATCCCTGGAGAAATTGGGCAGAAGGAAGCTAATTATAAAAGCGCGCTTCTATTTATACACCAATCAATTGGCAATCAGCAGCGACGGGAAAGGGGCGTGAGAGGACAGCTGTAATGCAGGAGGGGAGTGTGTAAAGAGGGTTGGGGGTGACGTGGTGCCCTTCCCATCCAGCCGCCTCCTTCCCCCTCCCCATGCTGATTCTCACAGGCATTGGCTTAGTGTATGGGGTCCAGCTGGAGGTTGAGGTGCCATAGACAGGCACCGAGTATTATTATTAGTCGCTATCTATATTACAGTGATGTCTGGAGGCCCCGTTGTGCCAGGCACTGTAGATACACCTGGGAAGAGACAGTCCCTGCCTCTAAGCATGTACAGTTTCAATAAACCAGAGGGAGTGCTGTCTCCGGTTGACGTGGTGGGCGATACCGAGGTTACCCAGACAGTGTGTGATGGAGGGAGGAGTTGAACCTGGATCTCCTGAGTTCCCAGCCAGCATCTTAGCCATGAAGCCACACTGCACCTGCCCTCACACACACAGTATTAGGCAGATCTCCAGCGAGGGGGCTGGTGAGGAATTTCCCTCTGTGATGCGATGGCTTTGCCACACTGGAGGCTGGGCTGAGGGTGGGGGAGTGTCGCCTTCCTGTGGTGCATCTCGCAAGGCTCAGAAGGGTGTACGTTGAAGCTAGGCTCCAGGAAGAAGACATGGTGCCATAACTGTGGAGTCCATTGCTATCGCCTCTAGGAGCTTGGGATGGGTCCGTGTGATAGCAGCCAGCATCATCCCAAAGCCTGAGACAGGTCCAGGGTCCCGGGAAGGCAGAGGCAGGAAACCGTGAGTGCCCATGCAGGTGTTATGCCAGGCGCAGGCAGCAGGTGCACCCAACGACGAGCCCAGCTCTCACTCGGGAATATGGCTAGGTGAGCGTCTGAGGGTCACCTCTCCAATGAGCTTCCAGGGCTAGTGCTTAGGGCCTCCAAGGCAGGATTGTAGCACAGGTGGGCGCACCTGCGTGACCACCGCTAGAAATAACAATATCGGTGCAGCAACACGGGCTTCAGCCCTGGCTGTACCCGCACGCCAGGGACCCTGGGCGTGCACTCTCCTTGCTGGTCCATGCTGAAGACCGGGCTGCTACATCTGCACCTCAGGTGCAGTGCAGACATACCCTAAGGAGTATCTAAGGGTCTCTTTTGGGGCAAGCTGCTGGTTGTTTCCAATCACCCAAATTAATATTGTAGCTGCAGCTGTGGCCCTTTAAGAACCAAAGACCGTTTTTGTCGGAGAAAGAGCCACGATCAAGATTCCAGGGGGTTCAAGCTGATGTTGCTTTTGTGCTGCTAAGGATGTTGCTGTCTGTGTTTTATTCACTGCAGAGTCACAATAGTTACATAGACATCAGGCAATGTGCAAACAACCAAGAAACCAGCAGGGAAAGAGTGTCTGTATCCTCTCCTAGCTCCCGGCGATCTTCGCACACGGCACTCTCCGACTCAGCATGTACGTATCCTAGTCAGCATCAACAGATCCCAGCAAAGGCTGTACTTATATATTGGCAAAAGCTTGGAGCCGCTTTAAAAAATCCCTACACCTCAAATCTCGGTTGGAAGTTTTAAACTATATTGACAGGTTTCAGAATAGCAGCCGTGTTAGTCTGTATCCGCAAAAAGAAAAGGAGTACTTGTGGCACCTTAGAGACTAACCAATTTATTTGAGCATGAGCTTTCGTGAGCTACAGCTCACTTCATTGGATGCATGCCGTGGAAAATACAGTGGGGAGATTTTATATACACAGAGAACATGAAACAATGGATGTTACCATGCACACTGTAACCAGAGTGATCAGGAAAGGTGAGCTATTACCAGCAGGAGGGAGGAATTATAGAATCATAGAATATCATGGTTGGAAGGGACCTCAGGAGGTCATCTAGTCCAACCCCCTGCTCAAAGCAGGATCAATCCCCAATTTTTGCACCAGATCCCTAAATGGCCCTCTCAAGGATTGACCTCACAACCCTGGGTTTAGCAGGCCAATGCTCAAACCACTGAGCTATCCCTCCCCCACAATGTAGGGGGGAACCTTTTGTAGTGATAATCAAGGTGGGCCATTTCCAGCACTTTACAAGAACAGTAGGAGGGGAAATAAACAAGGGGAAATAGTTTTACTTTGTGTAATGACCCATCCACTCCCAGTCTCTATTCAAGCCTAAGTTAATTGTATTCAGTTTGCAAATTAATTCCAATTCAGCAGTCTCTCGTTGGAGTCTGTTTCTGAAGGTTTGTTGTTGTAATATTGCCACTTTTAGGTCTGTAATCGAGTGACCAGAGAGACTGAAGTGTTCTCCGACGGGTTTTTGAATGTTATAATTCTTGACGTCTCATTTGAGAGTCCTAAAAAACTGTGAGGGGACAGTCTGCCGGGTGGCTAGTTTATATCTGTCACACCCGTCTGAACCTAGAGTAGCCCCCTTTGGCATCTTTAGGGTTCCCCGAGCACAAGGATGGGACCACGCTTGGCCTCTGAATGCACCAGCCTTTCCCAGCAGCTGAACCACGGCAAAGCTGACGGGGTTAGTGAAGGTCACCGCCACGGCTGTGTCTTTGCTGACAAAGAAACAGTGTGTTTTTACCATAGGACAACTACCGCGGATTAGTCGCCTTGCTGTGAAAGCAGAATGCAGACAAGGCCCCTACAGTTTTACCATAGGCGGGGCCAAGCCTGGGCGGGAGTTTAGCACGGGCCTTGCCTCGCTCCTCACAGCAGTACAGCGCCTCGCCTCCACTGGGATTTTACAGCGAGGTCACTAGCCCACGTTGGTTATCTCGCTGTAAAACTGCCTTTTTTAAGCTGTGAAGACAAAGCCCAAGAGGCCAGTGCTTGTGAGGAGTTAATCGAGGGAGGAGGCAAGGCCTTCTTGGTGGTCCTCCTTTGTCCTGCGAAGACGCCTAGATACTGCAGCGGCAGGCGCATTGGAAATATACATCGTCTGTGCAGCCAGGCAGGTGGGGTTTGGGCTGTGATCGGGAACGGGACGAGAGCCAGTGAGTGCAGAGATAGGGGAAGGTTGTGCGAGGAGAAGGCTCTGATCCCAAACGTGGCTGGGTCAGAGAAGGAGATGACTATTAAATGAGTAGAGGGGGTGGGAGGGACCAGCCCAGGATGTGTCTACACTAGACATTTGCCCCTAAACTTCCCCACTGGTACAGTTCCACTGGGCACTGTAGCAACTGTGGGCGCTCGAGGGTAGTAGACCAGTGCTGGCATTTTAATAGCTGTGTCGTTTACTCCCTGCTCAGGGCAGGTGCAGGTCACACTGGTTAAAGCCCCGACAGCTGTCAGCCCTTAGCACCCAATGCTACTGCTGCTCCAGGGGTGACAATGTGGGGAAGTTTAGGGGGGAAATGTGTAGCTTTTTAGCCTTCCTACTGAGAATCAGACTAGATAGTCATAGCTGGAGCAACAAGATACTGGAGTTCAATGTGACCTTTCCTTGAATGCCCTTAAAAAATGCATCCGTTTTATCCCTTTCAGTAGAAACTGCCTGTCTGTCTGCTCAGCTCATCATTACTGTCTTAGTTTGAGGGCTAAGTACTGCAGAGGCCGCATGTGCAAATCTAACCTGGTCAGACATTTAATGTCTGAATGGAGGCGAATCAGTGCCCAGGAAGATCTGGGAGACTGGCCTCCTGATATGAAGAGCGACGTGGCTGGGATCTCACCTTGTCACATTTGGGCTAAGGACGAGGACTCACAGGGATGTTACATGCATATAATGCACTGGGGTATTGAAAACAAGCCCAGTGGCCCTGTTCGTGCGGTGGAATATTCAGAGTGGGTTTCAGTGCAGAGGTGGTCTGGCTTCGTGCTCTCGTGGGGAAGCTTGTGTATCTCTGTAGGGCTCATGTGGTGTGGCTCATCTGGAGAAACACCCTAGAGAGAATGTTGAAATTATTACCAGAAATGGGCCACCCTGCCCAGAAGGAGAAGGGTAGATGATGGGTAAGCAGGTCTGGGCAGCAGTTCATGGTCATTAATTGCTACCCTCTTGCTTTCTTTGCCACATTTAGGCAATTGTTAGAGCAGATATTTTTGTGAGGTCCAACAGTGTCTTGGGGCGCTAGGTAGCAGCTGGAGCTGCCATGCCTCCACTCTCCTCCACTCCTATTAGAATAGGAGAGCACGTCTGATGGCCTCATCCCGTTACTTTGTCTAAAAGGAACTTCTCTTTTGCAGCCACCTCATCCATGCGGCATACGGAGGCCAGCACTCCCACCAGGCAATCCGTGCCAATGGGTCAGCAGGAGAAGTCATCGCTGAGGCTGGCCTCAAGTGGGAGCGCACAGGTAGATAACCCTGCGAGCGATGGCCTTTCTAGCGTGCACTTAGCACTGAAAGGGAGACAGTGATTTCGGTGGTGGTGGGTTTCATGTGTGGGTTTTTGGGGAGGGGACACTGCAGACTTACACCCTGGTCTCGTGGTGCCTGGAGTTGATTATGCTTGCCCAGATCCAGGCGAAGCCCAGTTTTCTCAGGTGAAGAGGGTTTCATCCGGAAGAGGCCAGATTCATCCGTCCAGCTGTGCTGACTCCAGAGGAGTTACCTGAGGGCTCGCTCTGTCCCCAGGTAACTGGTCGGCACCTGTTTCAATTGGTAAAACTGTTAGTCGGTCGCTTATTGCAGCCCCACATGGAGCCGTCTCTCAGGTGGTAAAAGTGTGGTACAGGAAGGAAGTGAAAGATCTCTGAAATGCGAGGAATTCAGCCAGGGAGAATGGGCGTGTCCACAGGCCACGTGAGAACGTCTTCCCTTGTGTCTGGCCAGCGCTGATGCTTTGACAGCGGGAGCCCCTCGGGGTAACACATTTGCTCCTGCAGTAGATCTGGCACTCAGTAACTCTCTTGGCCCTCACGTCAGGTGCGCTGTGGTCTAAACCAAACCGTTGTTCTCTTCCCAGGCAACAGTAACTCCTCAGGCACCCGCTGAACATCTCACTCTGCACCAGGTGGGCCAGCCAGCAATTCCCTCGCAGCAACCTGTGACGGTATGTGGTTTGGTTTTGTTAAGATCATGTTAGCTCTTGCATGACCAGCAGATGGTAACATTATTGTAGCAGAAGGGGAGGTCTGAAATCATTGCCCAAGAGACTCAGCTGGCTTGAGTTAGCCATGCTTTACCTCATTGCTGGCTGCACCAGGTTTGAGAGCGGGGGATCTTTGTTCTGGTTCCAGAAACAGCATTCTCCCAGGTTATTTTTTCTGTGTCTGTGCCATCGAGCGGCCCATCAGAGAAGCACATGCAGGCAGGCCCCTCCGATGACGGTTCCTGAGTGCTCTGTGATATGAATGATACTAGCGTTAGCAAGCTACTTGGCTCAGAAACAAGAATTTGACGTGCTCCTAGTTCCACCATTTGCATCCCTTCTTCTTCTTCTCTGGCTCACTCAGGACTAGATCCTGGGATTCCCCTGGGTAAGGGGCATTGTGTACTTGCATTGACCCAGGAGCAGCCCAGGGACCAAACTGTGACTCAGAGAGTCACAACCTGGGGTCCTGTTTCCACCTTCGCTCTAGAGGGAGGAACGGCTCATCAGCTCTTGACCCTGCACACAGGCTGCTGATGTGGGTAGCTGCACAGGGGTGTCGGGGGGCACCTTAAAGCCCCTTACTCCTTGCACGTGTATAAGGTGGCTCATGACTGAGGTCATATTTAGGGCTCAGTATTTCCATTGACTTTTCTGGGAGCTGCATCAGGCCTGTAGCCCATTCAGAATAATTTTTAGAGTAAGGTGCCTTCCATAGTATAAGGCTCATGGCAAGCTCCTGCCATTTAGCCATTCTGCTTTGCAAGGAAGAAATGGAGCAAAGTAATAATAACCAATAAACCTAGGGATGCAAGGTTTGATAGGAAGAGTAGACAGCTTCCTAATTCACCTGACCTTTTCAATACAAGTAAAGAAAGATAACCAAAATCTGATTCACCACTGGGTTACTCCACATCTATGCTCGGTGGAGTAACACCAGTGGGAGATTCTAGTAACGCAGTGGTGCATTGGCTTACAAGTGTCCAACGTGTAATTTTTCAGTATAGTCATCTTTTCCATGGGGGCAGCTTCCCATATTTTGAGAAGCAGTCTGTCCTGCATGAGAGCATTCACTTTTCTGCGGTCAGCAGCAATATTAGTCCATCCAGCTCGGGGCTAAGCGTGAAGTGTTTTCTGTTCTCCGCAGCCAGTGTACCACTTCCCAGCCCAGTTAGGGATGATGCATCAACTGAAAGAACAGCTGGAGGAGAGGACTCGCATACTGCAAGCTGACATCAAGACACAGCAAGAAGAACTCCATGTTATCAAAGAGCAGCTCCAACTAGTGCAAGATTCCAATCTGCAGGTATATGAATCTGTTCCAGTGTCCCCCACCCCCAGTGGTGAGCTGGAGCCGGTTCGCACCGGTTCGCTGGAGCCGGTTGGTAAATTTAGAAGTGCTTTTAGAACCGGTTGTCCCTCGGGACAGCCGGTTCTAAAAGGGTTTCTAAATTTAACAACCGGCCAAAAGTGGCGCCTTAGACACCACCTCCGTGGGTGCTTCGGGGCTGGAGCAGCCACGGGGAAAATTTGGTGGGTGCAGAGCACCCACCGGCAGCTCCTCGCCCGGCCCCATGTCAGCTCACCTCCGCTCCGCCACCGCCTCCTCCCCTGAATGCACCGCCCCGCTCTGCTTCTCCACCCCCTCACCCCCCCCGGTTTCCTGCGAATCAGCTGTTCATGCAGGAAGCTGGGGCGGGCTGAGAAGCAGGCGGTGGCTTCGCACTCAGGCCCTGGGAGGCAGAGGTGAGCTGGGGCGGGGGGGTGCGAGGAGGGCCGCCCGTGCCGCAGCAGGTAACCCGGGGTGGGGGCGCGCAGGGGAACCACAGGGGGCAGAGAAGCAGAGCGGGGCGGCGCGTTCAGGGGAGGAGGCGGAGGCGGAGCAGAGGTGAGCTGGGGCCGGGCGAGGGGCGGGGAGCTGCCGGTGGGGGCTCTGCACCCCCCAAATTTTCCCCGTGGCTGCTCCCCCTGCTCCCCCACTAGCTATGCTAATCTGCCCCTAGGAGCCAGAGGGACCTGCTGGATGCTTCCTGGGAGCTGCCCCAGGTAAGCACTGCTGGGACTCCCCACCTCGCCCCCCGGCAGGTCCCTCTGGCTCTTAGGGGCGGGGCGCGGTGGGCACCCACTACGGTGGCCCACAAGACCCTTCTGCCCGGTTCTGGGGGCAGTCAGGGGACAGGGGAGGGGGGTGGATGGGGCAGGGGTTCTGGGGTGGGGGTGTCAAGGAACATGGGGAGTTGGATGGGGCAGGAGTCCCGGGGGGTGGGGGCAGTCCACAACCTCCTCGTGGGGTGAGGAGGGAACCAGTTGATAAGATTTTGGCAGCTCATCACTGCCTGCCCCCATGTCTGATTCCCTGGGCCCAAAGTATCATCTGATTTTATCTTAAGCGTCAGGACATTCTAGACTGGTAGGAAAAGAGCCCAGTGGGGTGTTTTATCTCCTGCCACAAGGAAAAAAATGAGAAATGAATCCTGTCAGCAATGTATTCCTAAACTCTTGAACTGCTGAACCGTGATCATTCCTGAAAGAAAGGATGGTTTAGTGTTTGTAGCAGCAGGGCTGGAGGTTCTTGCTTCCCTGTTGTTTAAATATCAAATTGGTAATTGTGCCAGATCAAAAAATTCCCAACGTTTATGTCTAATAAAAAGTCACCTACTCAGGAAGAGCTTGGAGTTTTAACGATGGGGTAAGACTGCAGAAACTCAATAGCAGATTTCCACCTAAAACTGACAGGGTTAATAGGGTTGGGGTGGCCATGGATTCCACCTCACTATTTGGGCACAAGCAAACATTTGATTTTCTGCTATTCACAGTTCACTATCTTATTGTATTTTATGATTCTGTTGCAGCTGCTTTATGTGTGTTGACTGACACAGCGTATGAGTTGGAGACACTGGGGCCCATCTAACACAGACAATCGAGGCCTCAGCATTCTCTCCCTGGGTGTGATTGTTATATACCCCAATGTGAAATATACAGGGCCAGGCTGCCAGAAATTGGGGTATAGGATTGCAGAGGGGAAAGAGTAGAGAGAAAGAAGGAAGGGAGAAGATTAAAGCAACAACCCACACAGCCCAACATGCGCAGTGGGAACAAAGGAGACTGTGAGAATGTTGTTGTTTCATGCTACCTTCAACTGTTGTATGTCACTTAAGTACCACAGATAGATAGTGCATTTGTGGCTAAAGATTACGCACCATCTAGTGGCTATTCCAATAATTATGGTAGTTGGCACCAGTAGGTTCTAGCCATTGTAAAGACCTCAGGCAGGTTTCCTCCAAAAGAAATCCATTCATGTGCTGTTAAAGGTCAGCAAGTGACTAACTTTATTCCAGTTAGAAGCTTTCACAGAGGAAACTCCATCACTGAGCGCCTCAAGTCAGGGATGGGGAATTTACAACCTTACTGCCAGAGCTACTTTTTCTTAATTTGTTATTTAATCAGAATTTCTGTCTCTTAAAGTGTCTGGAATAAAATTACCTTGTTGCTCCCCCTAGTGGTTCATTACAGTATGAAGCGCTACAGTGGACAGTGATGCCATTATGGAAAATAACATATGCTTTGCTGTTTGAGAAAATACAATATTTGTGTTCCATATTGGCCACAGCATAAAATACACACAAGTTGCAATAAAAGTATCATTTGCACAGACCCATCCTGCAGTAACTCGAACAAAGCAATTCACAACGTTGCACAATCCCCCGTATCCTTAGCTGCCAGACAATTCCATAAAACAAGAGACCAATTTTTAGCTTTGACACGAGCATTTCTGGGTGAAATGAAAGAATTCTGTATCACACTATTCACCGGCCCTGAATGGTCACAGACTCTTGGCAGTGTTTATTTGGGAAGCCAGGTAACAGGGTTTTATCGTGTTATGAGATTATCAAAGGTTGGTTTTCTGTTCTCTCTTAATGTTGTGTTTGAACACGATAGGATTAGAAAGCAGGCCCAAATTCCTCCTAAGGAATTAGAGGACATATATTGTTAATAGTATTACACAGGATATGTCCTGCTAGTGAAAGCTAGTGCATCATAATTGATGCCAATTTCTGGAAAAAAAACTTCCTCTAATTAAGGAGAGGTGGCTATTCGAATCAAATACGACACTAAGGAAGGCAATAATCACTCTTTATCTGTTAGATTACGCCATGAAAGAAATAAGTAGATGTGACACTAAAATTAATGACAGCGCAACATGGGAAAGCAAATGCTCTTCAGATATCCTGAGCTTGGTGACACTGGAATAACTGAGTATGCTTTAATTCTGGAAATGGAATGTTCTCCAGAAATGATCTACCCAGGAATTTTTGGGGTATCTATGGACTGTCCTGTCATCCTTTTTTTTTTTTCTCTTTTTTTTTTTTTGAAGAGCTAAATGCAAATCACCCCTTGTGTAAAGTTGTTTTGTGACATCAAAGCACACATGCAGCATAGATCATTTTGTATTTAATCCGTGCCTTGGATTTGTCACTGATTATAACACACTGTGGTGCAGCTAGAACAAGAGTGAGTGCATCCATTTCCTCCTTTTACCCAAAAGTCGACAATACAAATATACTGAAAAATAATCCATTTGTACAAACCGAGAGCTGAACTTTACTGACAATAATCTGATCAGATTTACTATGCATCACTAACATCACTTTAATTTGCACACACTTTAATTTAAATGTTCACTGTCCTCTAGTCAAAGTAGCAAAGAGGCTGGAAGAGAGAAAAGTACAATTGGTCATTCTAAGTGGAAATCATTCACCAATGATTCAGTCAAATATGGAGCGTGGGCTGGTAAAAATTCAAACTACAGTGCCAAAAATATAGGATTGGGGAATAGCTGGGAAAGGATTGACACAAATTAGATCTACTCCTTAACAAATACGTTACGGGGGAAAAATAAAAACCAGCTCTGTATATTAACCACTTCACTGCTGCAGAATGTACCAGATTCCACCGGCAAACATGGCCTTGTCCATAGTAATATTGGTTTCGTATGCTGAAAATAGCCACATGCACAGAAGCCCATGTAGGGCTTTTTACTGGTGCACGTGGGAATGCTGAGTGAGTAAAGAATGCAGGCTCAGCAACTAGAGATGGTGGTTTAGAAAAGTGTCCGTGTTCCTTTAGTCCTCCTTCTCTGTTGAAGCTGATCCCCTGTGGTGAGTTTTGTGATATAGGCACCCCCAGACCAACATCTGGACTGCAGGTTCCAATTGTTTTGCAAAAGCCATCAGACTCCAGTGACTTTCAGTTTTGACTTGACTAAGCTTCATTAGAACTAGTGAACTAGAGGTGAATCTGTCTGTATCTCAATACCAGGTTGCTAAGCCACGGCAAAGGACCTTGTTTTATTGGATATAAGGAATCCAGCACAGTTTATGTTAACATATCAATTTAATAGATCCTTGGGAACGCTGTCTTTTGCACTAGCAATATTGTACTTTGCATTAGAGCTTACTGTAGCACAGTCAGGTAGATGCATTAAAAAATTAAACGCATAAACTGCTGTACCAGCTCAGGTATCTCTTTTTTGCAGATGTTGATGCAACAACCTATGCCCATAGTCTTTAACAACGTACAGCAACAGAGCCCAAGAAGGCCATCTCAACCACAGCAGCCTGGGGCGACCAGGCAGACCACAGCCAAGAAGTCTCAGCAGCAAGGCCTTATGGGATCCAAACACTACAATGCCCCACACTTACCGTCACCACATCAATTCCTCAGGGAACCTTGTGTCACTTCCTCACAGGTTGCTAACTTCTTGGTTTTCTTCAAGAGCAATTGAATGTTCTTTATAAATAGCTCTTGTAATTATTGTGTGTCAGCTCGTTTAGGGACAGATCCGTCCCTAGGGCAACTCCACGTGGAGTTTCACCAAGGATGACGCTGATGTCCGGGCCGTGTGGCTCCCTCCACTTTAGCCCCCGCTAATGAGCACCATTCTCCTCTTGCCTCCTGAGTCTAGGTTTCATGCTGTAGTGAGTGTGACGTGCTTCACTTAATCAGCTTTAAGATGTTACTTCGTTTCACGTGATAAATGTAGATGACGTCACTCTGCTGTCGTATTTAGAGATTTAATGGCCTAACAGTATTAGATCTAAGGGGGCCAAAATCATTCCTGGTAGAATTCTGTTGAAGTTAGTGGAGATCTTTTTGGTCCTGTCATTCCAGTTCTGCTCTTAGTTAGACCAGAGTCTATCTGGAGTAGCTCAGTGTAATCAGTGGGAGTTACACTGCTATAACTCAGGGAAGAAGGCATATTCTTAGAGGAAGTACAAGAATCCGTTAGTGTGGGCTGCAGATTTTTCAGTCACCTTCTCCCGACAGATCTGCTGTCTGTCTCCTGTTGTATTCAGAGAGCAGAAAGTGCCATCGTCACACAGCCTGCCGTCTGACTGCACGTTAGAGGTAGATGGTCTCTACCATGGAATTGATTTGTCTCATAGGGGACAATTTTTTTGTCTCAGGTACAGCAGCAACAGCACTTAATGCGAGGCTGCCAGGCCCAGCCCACACACCTGCCAGCGCAGACAAGCATTTCGATGCCCCTCTACAACAGCCCCATGGTGTTTTCCCAAACTCATCCCATCACTGTGTCTGCTCAGATGCCGACGGAAATGAGTGAACGGCAACAACCGTCCAACTACAGCCAAGATAGGAGTCTCAGGTAGGAATGAAGTCAGTGCTGGATCCTGATGAGGTCTGAGTGGGAGGAAAATATCATTGTGCACAAGACTGGGTAGCAGTGAAGTCTTGGCTTTCATTCTACACGTCAGGAGCTCTGCTTTACTAAAGCTTTACTCATGCCTTCGTACATGTGCCTCCCATATAACTTAACAGCTTTTTAGGCACGGGATGTACTATATACCCTGCTTCAGTCAGAGGGCGCTGAGCTTTTGGTTTCAGGGGAATAAAGAGGCAAAACTAGCAGTTCCCATAGTTTTCTCTTCGTTGCCCAGGAACTCCAGAATAGCCATTCTCCTGCCAGGATGGATGCCCTGGAAATAGTCCTTTTCAGTGCAGTCCTGCTAACCATCCACATGCAGAACTCCCGTGAAGTCTCAGCAGACATTGGTTATATAAAGGGCTCTCAGGATCAGTCCATTTCAAAAGTGCTTGCAGGATCGGGCCCCTTTAAAATAGGTTGCCTGGAGGCCTTTCTGTCTAAAAGAGGTTTTTAGATCATTGAACATGTTAAGGTCAAATTCCCATGTAATCCAGGGTGGAATTTGGCTCGACTATCGTTATTAATTTTTATGTGCTATGCATTTTACAGACACAGCCCCATCACCACCCAACCCAGCTCCCTAAAATAGCACGCAAACACTTTAAATGTTAGTATGCGTTGTGGGGCACCTGGAACTCTTCTGTGGGCAGATGCCAGCTAAATGTGCATTCGTGTCCAAAGCAAAAGAAAGAATGGGATCCTTAATTTGCATGAGGTGGGCCATGATAATGTTAGCAAGATCAACTGAACATTTGTGATCTGAAAGGCTTAGCCATTTCAGCTCAGATCTGTGGTCTCTTTAAAGCTGATGATAAAATTGTGATCTTATATTATATGCACACAAGTATTCAGGTCCTTAAACTTGGACGGAATGAGTTAGTGAAGATTTGAGAGCTTTCACACAGCTTTTACGGGGATAGGGTACTAGAGATTGACTGTGAAGAATCTGAACATAGGAAAAAACAAATACCTTTTCTGACTGTGCCATGTTTTCATTCTTCTGTAGAATGTTGTTAGATCAGCCTGTCCAAGCCTTGATGCCCAGTGCTAATGGCAGTAATCAGTCATCACAAAACACTGCTGGCAGACAGCAAGCAAAGTAAGTCTTCCCTGTAACTATTGTACACTATCTTAGCAGTGAACTTTCTCTTCAGAGGCTTTGTCCATGTGTAAGATCTTATTGGGGTTCTTTTCGGGGTCATGAAAATGATCAAAAATGTTGGTTACCAAAAAAGAAAAAAAAAATCGGGGGTAAAGAGATAAGTAACTAGTTGGTTAGGGAAAAAATGAAGTTGGATTGTTTTTTTTAATGAAAAACATCCCTTCAAACAAATTTTTCCAAGTAAATTTCAGTTCTCATCCAGATTTTTCAGGGTTTTATTGAAAACTAAAATCTGACGTTTTGTGGGGGTTGGCAATCATTTTCTGCGTTCAGTTTCAGAAAACTGGCAATAGTCAGGTTCTGGTTTTTCGCCATCCTCCCCAAATTCAAAGTTTTTGATAGAAATGAAAAAAATCTTGTTCAGAAATGTTCACGGGAAATAAAATACATTCCCTGTCCAGCTCTACAACTGACTGTACCGCTGCCCATTGGCGTAGGTAAACTCTTTGCTGTGTTCTTGTGCTCTAACCAGTCCATCTTAACACAGCTGCACACCTTTCAGTGTGTGCTGGCGCAGAAGTTGAGTACTAATCACCTTATTTCTATTGTTGTTTCAGTTGCACCCAGAGATGCCACCCCTATTGTGCTAGGCACTGTACTAACATACACCAAAGTATTGGTCCCTGCCCCAGACAGCTTTAAATCTAAGTATGCCGATGGATATGGTTGTTTCATTGATCAAAGAGCTGCATCTATTTAGCTTAACAAAGAAAAGGTTAAGGGGTGACTTGATTACAGTCTGTATGTATCTACATGGGGGAAAATATTTAATAACAGGCTCTTCATTCTAGCAGACACAGGTATAACACAATCCAATGGCTAGAAGTTGAATGCTAGACAAATTCAGACTGGAAATAAGTGTAAATTTTTAATGGTGAGAGTCATTAACCATTGGAACAGTTTACCAAGGGTCATGGTGGATTCTCCATCACTGACAATTTTAATATCAAGATTGGATGTTTTCCTAATAGATCTGCTCTGGAAATTATTTTGGGGCAGTTCCCTGGCCTGTGCTATACAGGAGGTCAGACTAGATGATCACAATGGTCCCTTCTGGCCTTGGAATCTATGAATCGATGAATCTCTTATTTAAACAGGCCAAGTCACAAGACTCGTGGTTTCGGTGGGATGGGGGGCAACCATACAGCAAGCCTTCAGCTTCTCCAAATCAGATACTCTTGTTCTCACATGTGGAGTTCCAGTATGGAATTCCACTTCATTATACTGATAAAGGACATGGGAGACATGGGTGGCCGGTGACCCAGCCACTGGGGGAGGCTAGCCCCCACCTCTTGTGCCTGAGGGCCCCCGGCACCTGGTGGTGCAGTCCCAGTGCCGGCTGGGCAGCACGAGCCCAGTGCCAGCAGCCCTGAGTTCTTGCGGCAGGCTGGCCAGCCCTAGCCCCAGCCAGCCTGGGGCATGGCAAAGAACTGCAGGAGGGGATCTGGGGGCAGAGCGTTAGCGGGGCCCTGCCAGGCTGTTTGGGGAGGCACAGCCGATGCTACCCACCACCCATGATGGGAGATTTTTGCAGCTAGTCTGGTATGTTTTCCGGGCTGTTTTTCCGGACTGTATTTGGTTTAGCGAACTGCATTTTGCTTTGTTTCAATCAGCATAGATCTCTGGCATTTATTTTCATGCTGATTCATTGTTTACCTTCTATTAGTGTTTTATTTTCCTCCTATTTACAGATTTGTTCCAGAACAACAGATGCTGCCTCCCCCATTACAGATGCAGCCAATTACATGTAGCGCAGTCAGGGCTCCTGCCCCTTCTCCTGTATTTACTCCTTCAGTCATGATTCCACAGGCCAACTTCACTTCCCACCAGACGCAACTTCCAGTTCATCTCCACCAATGGCCACCCCAACAGCAGGTTCAGCAGCAGCATCTCTACCTGCAGGTAGCATACTTGGGCGGGGTTTGTAAATGTCGATCAGACAGTTTAGAAGGAAACGCTCTTACATGACTTGAATCTGTCTGTCTTATCTTACATGACCCCCATCCCCACTGTACCTGTACGTACCTACAGCCTGCCCTGTATCACCGGAATTTTCAAAAATGGTCAGCACAGTTGAGACTATGTTTTCAGAAGAACTTAACTCTCATTTAGGCACCAAAATAAGTGGCCAGATTTTCACATGCAGCTCAGCACCCAGTGCCTGGAGCTTTGTGAAAAATCTGGCCGGGAATGTTAAACATTGGGAGTTGCTGGGTCCAAAGCACTTTTGAAAATCTGGCTCCATCTGGCCTGTAGTATCTGAGCAGACTGTGTTGTTGTTTTTTTAAAACCAGCCACGTGCTGCTCTTTATTCAAAGAATTAATTGGGCCACCGAGCAAACCTTTCGAGAAGACAGATTTGATTTTCAAGAACAAGGATCGTGCCCAGCTGATAAAACAGTTAGTGGAAGGAATCACTGAGGCTAATTAATAATTGAAAATAGTTTTCATTCTCTCAAAAACTGAGTGGGTTTACAAAAGCCGTAAGTTTAATGGTTAGTCAGTGAGAGGAGGTATGTAGCAAAGTAATAGGAAGAGATCAGCTACAGGTGGAATTAGTTATGCTGCAGGGCTGGTTGAAAAAGAAGTGATTACATAATAATCCCCTCAAGATGTGGAATAAGACAAATTCAGCACAGGCACAGATACAGCGTTTTACAAGGGGTAACTCCTGAATTCATCCTCAGAGCACTTGTGTAAGGGTAGGTGCCTTCATCCACATTTTGTAAAGACAGCAAAACGGAGAGAGTGAGAAGTCAAGTGATATGTCCAAAGTCACAGCAAGTCAACAGCTGCCTCACACTCAGTCCTTTTGGTTGCCTTGCCGATCACAGACCACATTTATTTTCCACGCCCCATTTGTGTGTCACGCTACAGGGCTGGGTATTTGCTTACAAAGATGAGAATTTCTGTCCATTTTGAGATCAAACTTCAGCACCACCGGGAACTTACCGAGGTCTGGCTATGCTGCAGAGGCCAGGTAGCATGGCTGGTCAAGCCCTATGCCCCGTGGAACCGAGCCACCGTGTACAGGGGGATGGGAGCAGGCTCCTGGAGCTGTTGCTATGTGGATTTCCCAGCCATCGCTCCTCGCAAGAGTCTTCTAGACTTCAGTAGTAGCCATTGACAATTGCACTCACCCAGACTGGAGCCTTCCCATATGTTTTCCTGTGGGTTTGGCAATAGTATCTCTAGCCCCACAGGTTGGGTACTTGATTGTCGGTGGTTTAAGGCGTGCAAATAACTTTGGCATCCAAACTGAGTGCCCAGAAACTCGCCGTTATGTTGAAAATTGAGGCCCTCGGGATAAAGGAACAGGGCCTGTATTTCACTCCCAGGCTCTGCACGGTATGTTCCTTTGATAGCCTCTTCCAGAATCAGACCCACCCTTTCCAGAGCACTGCATTGAACAGCCAGAAGTAGCTAGATCAGGGCACAAGGAGCATCTGCATTTGTTGGGAAATCAGTCTGATTGTATCACATTTTCTTTCTACAGATGCAAGCCCCTGAGTCGGTCCAGGGGAGTCAAAATCAGCGTATTTTCCAGCCATCTCATATACCGCAGCAGAATACCATGGGCTACTTCCTCCATCCACAGCAACAAAGCCACCATCCACAGGGCCAGTCCTGCAACTTACAGGACCTGCCTGAAATGCAGCTGCCGTGAAAGCCAGGTCATGACGAGAAGGTGACGAGTCGCAGCTGCTGTGCTGAGCAGGCGTCGGGGAAGGACGGCGAAATTCGAGGAGAGAAGGCCCTCCTCATGTGCCAGAGGGGTGAGGGTTAGCCCAGAGGGAAACATGGCAGCGTGGAGGAAGGTCCCAGCAGGAGAGCACGATCGCCATATGGGTACCTTGTTGATTACCATTTTTATATATTCAGTCCTTGATGCTGCACAGTGACAGTATCAAAGCAAAGTCTGGAGTCATTAAGCAACGGGACTGTTTGACTAAACACAGTTGAACTGTGAGCAACTAGAACTCCGGTTCATGTACATCCTGTCAAGAGCGGCTATTAAGTGCTAAAAATACCTGGAGGCTGAAATCAGGATAGTCGGAATTGGTTGTGGAGCTCTTGCCTGCCAAAGCTAGTCTGCAAAGGCGGTGACAGACTTGCTGAACAAAAATGGTTGACTTAAGCAGGAAAATGATCGCTGAAGAATACAGTCATATGTGGCTGTTATTGGTCACTAAGCCATACAGCCTTACACAGCACAGCATTGCAATTCCTTTGGACTGCAATCTGGATTTCTAGCTGCAGGCATGCTATTAATCAGGTCAGTGCAAAGCTCGCTTTGCAACTGAGAAAATATTTTCAATTCAGGACATCAGTGCTCCTTTTAAATTTTGCTGAAACTCATTGTGAATTTAAGACCAGTGTTTGGAGCACGGAAACCTGTGAGAATCAGCAGGGTCCCATTTAATTAGCATCTACATCATTTGCTTTGTTGTAGTAGGTTCATTGTGGATTTTGGTTTCCTTTTTCCCTATCCCTCAATCCCATAATTTGTTTTTTCCAGATGATTGAATAATGCTGCTAATTCCTGTACCACCACTCTTGCCTAAATTTCTTACGGTTGTTTTACCGACTCGCGTCGCCATCAGTATGCTACGGGTGCAGATGAATTGCTGTGGTTTTAGTTCCTGGAGCCAAGTATTTTTCAGGGTGTACAGGCAAGGAGTCCTTACATTCCCCAATGGACCTTGCTGTACATGTTTCTTTACACCTGAAACTCAGACAAAGGCAAACTTTGTGGTTTTGCTAGTTCATGTTTCAATTTGGCAAAGCTGAAATTTATACTAAGTGATATTCCAAGCCCATAGGGTTAGCAATAAATTGTATTTTTGTAAATTGTCACTTTTTAACGATGTGTTTATATTTATTAACTGACAAACTGTCTATTCCTCAGTGGGTATATAGTAAAGTGTCCCTACTGTTTGTGTCTTTCCAAAGGAAAATGAATATTTAATCTTTAGATTTTTTTTTTTTTTTTTTTTTTTGAAACTGAGTGTTAGATTTGGGTAATGCTTGATCCCAAACTCTGAAGACAATTTAATACCAGCTTTCTGAGACAATGCTTGGATACTTCCTTAAAGGAAAAAAGTGATGGCAAAGTCATAACATTGTGGCTGGCACTCGAAATAGAGTTTAGGGAAAAGTTATTGTCTAACCTCGATCTAACCTAATCCATCTGCTCTTTCTAGGCCCTTTTGGGACCCCTCCGTCACCATGATCGCGGGGTGCCTCCCTCTAGTAGTTGAGATGAAACAGATGAGGCTGAAAGCGTGGTGAGGTCAAGCTGGATCAGTGGAGCTGTGCTCAGCACTGCTTGGAAAAGGTGACTGTAAGTCACCATTGGTCTGCTCAACCTCTCACCCCTGTAAAGCCGGGCACATGCGGGAATGCTTTATTTTAAGCCAGCTCCCAAAGGCACCATGGACTCACTGGGCGTAGGGCCACACATTTCCCCCTCCCCTTCCCCAAGTTGCAGCCCTGTGCCACAGCGGGATTTCCCGAGGCACCCTCAGTGAGGCAGCTCTGCTGGTTTTCAGCCACTTTGCCCCAGTGGCTGCTGCGGTCCAGCCAAGAATCTGCGTTATGATGTTTCTTTGGACACTTTAAAGGTGCATGTTCGTTTCCAAGCCCGCCTGGGCGTGTTTGGTGCCCAGCCACACTCGGCTATTGGGCGCCAGCTTGCAAAACTGTGACCATGGCCTCTGAGCAGAGAAGGGGCTGAGCATGCTTTAAGCGGGGTACCTGGCTTTGCCTAGCAGGGGTGTGGAGCAACTGGCCGGCTCAGGCTCACCACGGCTGCAGTCTGAGTGCCCTGCTGCTGGAGGCAATACTCAGAGTACATTTGTTTTCACATTGCGTGGGGTATTGAGAACCATGTTAATTAGATGTAAAAGTTTTAGCATGAAAACTCAAGTCACCAAAGAGGAGTTCTGTACAGCCATGCCGCTGGCATCAGAAGAGACGTGTGTTATCTATTTTCATAGCCTAGTTGTAGCACAACAATGGCAGGGTGGCGTAAATAGAAAAGAAGGGCGCTTAGCAATGAGAGGTCAAGGAGGCAGAGGCTGCTACCCCCCCCCCCCCCCGGCACTGTACGACCTGGGGCAAATGCATGGTGGGCTGGAATTGTGAAATGTGCTGGCTGGCTCAGTGAGTGTAGCTCAAGGCAGCCAGGGGTTGCAAGTTGGGTACCAAAGATTAGCTGGCAAGACCAACATCACTGAGCTGCTGTTTAGAGTGTGTTTACCCCTTCAGCTGCCAGAGATATGTGAATGAGATTGTTCCCCAACAATTCCTTGTGACTGAAGCGTGTTGTAATGTCAGGGACCTTGGCTGGAACAATGATGTGCAATAGTAACCGACTTCCCAGTGACGTCCTCAAACTTCTACTTAGTAAAGCGTTGTTTGTTACTGTCTTTTACCTACAAGTACAAGGGGCAAAAATTGTGCCCAAGGGTGATCCCAGCCATGGTGATAGGCCAAAAAGTGGCCCCACAAGAGGACGTGCCTCCTTGGGAGCCATTGGCTGACCCACAGAGGCAGGCCATGTAGGTGAGTTGAGACACTCGCACTTAGCAGAAGGGTCCAAAGCAGGGGTGGGTAAACTATGGCCCGTGGGATTGCCCCTCACCCCCAGTGGTGCCTCAGGCCCCATGCCGCTCTCAGAAGCGGCTAGCACCACATCCATGCATTGCCCATGCCGCCAGGTACCTTCGCCCACAGCTCCCATTGGCCGGGAACGGGGAACTGTGGCCAATGGGAGCTTTGGGAGGAGGTACCTGGAGGCGTGGCAAGGGCAGCGTGTGGCCAGCCGCTTCCTGGAGCTGCATGGGGCCAGGCCCTCCCCCCCCAACTCCCTGCCCTGAGCCCCCTGCTGCACCTCAACCCCCTCATACATCCCGCACCCCTCCTCTGCCCTAATCCCTTGCCCTGAGCCCGTTCCTGCACACTGCACCCCTCCACTCCCACAGCCCTGCATACACTTTTCCCACCCAGCTGTGGCCCTCAGCCCAAAATGTTTGCCCACCCCTGGTCTGTAACTAAAAAGCACATTGAAGTTAGGGTGTGTTTTGCTCGAGTTCTGCTTCGGGCCCATAAGAGCCTGGTAAGTGAATTCCTGCCTTGTGTCCATTCCAGTAGTGTGTCATACTACAGCAAATGTGGCTGAAAGATTTACTTACAAAGCTAAGGCATGGCCAGGTCACGGGCCATGAATTTTTGTTTATTGCTCATGACCTGGCCATGACTTTTACTAAAAATGCCCAGGACTAAATCGTAGCCTTGGGATGTGGCTTTGGCTAGGAATGGGATTCCACGGGAGACGTTTGTGCTTTCAAATCCTGCTTGATTAAAAAGGGCTGGGGGAGGGAGGAGCCATTGGCATGCAGGGTCCGGCTCCACCCAGCTTGAGGTGAGGTGCACAGTGGCAGACTAGCTGCTGGACCAATGGGACATGTGCCCAGGGGCCCCAGCCAATTAGGATGGTCCCTTGAAAAATGGGCACCTCCACACACACAGACCACTACCCGCTCCACCACCCTGGCTCACCTGCCTGTTGGGGGAAGCCCCCGCATCCCGATAGCAAGTGTGAAAAATGGGGATGGGGGTGGAGGGGGTAATAGGTGCCTATAGCAGACAAAGCCTCAAATATCAGGACTGTCCCTATAAAATTGGGTCATCATGCCAAGACGGGGTGGTCTACAGGCAGAAGGGGTGGGGAGGCCCAGGGCCCCACAAACCCCCCACCGTGGCCGCTCAGTACCTGCCACTAGTTTTGTTAAAATGCTAATGTAGCCTTGGCTGACTTCTGGCCACTTTGGTACAGTACCGCACTGGTGGACCTGTGCTCTTGGCATGTGTTTCACTGGGGCCAAGACATGGACAAAAAAAGTGTTACAGGAAACTGGCCAGTTAGTTATTATAGAGATTAATCACGTTCAAAAAAGAACTAGGTAAGTTCATGGAGGATAGGTCCATCCATGGCTATTGGCAAGGATGGTGTCCCTAGTCTCTGTTTGCCCGAAGTTGGGAATGGGTACCAGGGGATGGCTCACTTGATGATTACCTGTTCTGTTCATTCCCTCTGGGGCACCTGGCACTGGCCACTGTCGGAAGACCGGATACTGGGCTAGATGGACCAATATGGCCATTTTTATGTTCTTAACGCTTGTGGGCTTTCACACACTCTCCCTTGCTAAAATTAAGGTGGTGGCAATACAGGTGAACCCCTGTGACTATAGCCTTGTAGCTGAAACCATCACTGTAAATGCCCTACCAGTCACAGCTCCTTTGGGGGTTTTTTAGCCCGTGTCAGACACGCTTTTGCCCGAAGCATGTTGGTGGTGGACGGGGGCGGGTGCTGCAGCCGGTGTGAAAGCAAGGTGTGCCTAAGGGACTGGGCTGCTGGCTTCAAGTAGCAGCCACACACTCGTCTCTCCATCAGCGACTGCCTGAGCAACCCTTTCAGCAGCTGTTTGTCCTTTGATTAGGTTGGCCCCCAAAGCCGTTCCTTTAACTGGAAAATAAAGTGAGCTGGCAGAGAAGAAAGATGGGAGACGGGCTTGTGCAATGTAAAAAAAATAAAAACAAGGCCCAAAAATTCATCCTCACTCTTTGTGCAGCTGGGCTGCGGTCTCTGCTTTGGCACTGTAAACCACTCTCACTTCTGCTGCAGGCAGTGGGGGGTTCTCTCTGCATGAGACCAGCAGCTGGCTCCAGGCTCTCCCCTCAGGCACGTTGTAGCACCGAGAAAGTCTGTGTTTTATAGAGATATCTGAGGCTGAGTCATGCAATTGCCTTTGCTTATGGAACACAGCTCTGGCCAATTGTCCCGCTGAGACTTACATGGCTACTATGTGCAATATGGCCATCCTTGGCCAGCTCGTTGCAGTTGTGAATGGCTGGGAGCTGTGACAATATGGCCTTGAGGGTAGCCGCTATATGTGGCTGGGGAGATTGGGGTGGAGAAAGGAAAGAGGCTAAATGGTGGCCCTAGAATGCAGGGTTTGGGCCCCTTTTTCGGATTGGCCTTTCAAAAAACATGCACTTTATTAAGAAGAAAAAAAACCCCACCCTTCCTTTCCACTGTCTATCACCCCTGTTAGTGCAATTTGGCCAAAAGAGTCACTGACATATGTTGACAAGTCCTGGCTAACACTGGCCAAGTCACGCTCACGCCTGTGAAGAAGCAGCTTTCATGAATGCACATTCTTTCTTGCTGCCTTCAAGCTGCTCCTGGTTTTCAGACAATCATGAGCGCGCCAAACTGCTGAGGTCCTTACTCAGGTTTTACTCAGTTTCTGTTCAGTCCTTACTCAGGCAATCTCCTGTCAATGCAACAGGAGCCCAACCTGTGTAAATACTGAATCCAGACCTCAGCCATTGGCCCTGAGCTCTCTCAAAGCAATCCTCTTCAGGTTACCGTTGATTTGTTTACCTCTGTGTTAGCTATGACCTGTGTTTTTGTGACCTGTTTGGAATTGCCCATTGTCAACTGGTTTCGGTAAGCAGGTGGGCTTGTCCACTTACAAGGGGATGCACCTTCTACCAGTAGTAGACTCTGGGCTTATTACCGTCCTTTGGACTGTAGGTATGCAACAGAGTGTACCCAAAGATTGGTGCCAGCTCAGAGCGATACCTCCTAAGTCATAAACGTTGTCCAGCTTTCGAGTACACCCGTGTATACACATTTGGCCACACAATTCCAGACCTCTGAAAACACAGGCAGCTTTAATTCAAGTCTTGCACTTTTAGCATATTTGTACATTAAAGCCTGGTACATTATAACCAGGCTGGTTTGACAAACATAGTGAAACATTCTTGTACATATTGTACTATATCCCCTGTAAAAACTTAGACTTGAGTATGAATATTAGTTTATTTTATATGATGTCAAATATAGATAAATTTATAAATGTTAAAGTATTTTGTAATGGAAAAAAGGAAGTGTCTTATGAAGACAGTTAGATTTTGTCGTCGTCTTGCATTAC